TGTTGTTTTTAGTCAGTAATTGTTCAAGTATTTTTACTTCTTTTACTACATTTGGGAGGGCAAAACAATGTATGGTATCGATAGATTCCCTTTGGCAATTTTAATTTTTTCAGGCCGTTATGGACACCCTATATCTCGGATATCCCGCAAACACCGTTATGAGTGTTGTTATTACATCGTGTGGGAGAGGGGGCATGACCTAGGTTGCCGCGGTTCACTAAGGATGTTACGTCATGCAGGTGTATAGCACAGAAAATATTAATAATGGGGTTATTAAAAGAGAAACCGTTTGGACAAATAATTCGTTGTCGTTTGGAGTGAACCTGTGAGGCAGTGGATTTTAACCAGGGTTGCGATGCCCTCTAAAGCAAGGATATGAAACCTTTAATTCAAGAGGGATAGATAGTTATAACTGGGTGAAAGCGCGGGCTTCATCTTTATTTAACATATAAGCTCTCTAGTAGTTCCAGGCACAAATATTTTAGTTATTGATCTTGTGACATGCGTTGTATGCTTCGCACAAGCTATCTGTTAAAGCATTGTAACGTCATAGGCATAGATAACTAATTTGACTCAGGTATAGGCTTTGCAACGCAAATGGATTAGAATTACTCGAACGTACCAAATTGATTTGAAAACTCGTTTCCCGGGCCGCACATATTTCAAAATTGGCACTCCGACGCGGACCGCACAAGCCACAACCGCACGGAGTACCACATTTAGCCCCGGGCCGCAGGTTGCAAACCCCTGGAACCCCTGTTGAAAAACATTCTATGAGACCAGAAACCTTTAGTTATGAATAATACAGAAATCGCAGGTGCGCTATATTTTGAAGTTTTGTGTAGCGATTGTCTATAGGCAGAATCATCAAATTGATAAGACCAGCAACGTAAATTACAAACGTACCGTTGGGATTTTTTGTAATGAAATAAATCAGTTTTCAATTTAGTAGTATCATCATACTTGCAGTGGAGATTACCGGCTTAGGCTTCTAGTCCATATTGGTCCACTAAAAAGCAACAAAGGTCGTTAAAGGGCGGTTCTAAACATTAAAATTAAGGTGTCAAAGTATAATTGTATAAATTATATAGTCCAAAAAATATTGACAATGCTGTATTAAAATTCAATTTCGTGTTTAAAAGAACAGAATGGGTAATTTTTTTCGGGATTTTTATTTTCTTCACAATGAACCCCCAATACAAGAAAAATATTTACTATGGGCATCGACTATGCGGCAGGTATAAACTTTTCTAGCTCCGGCAGCGAAGTAAGACTGTGGAAAGCTTATTTGATGTATAATCAGTTATCAGTAACTGATTGTATCTGACTCTGTTTAAAGTGAGAGGCGCGAGTAAGCGTCGTATTGCGTTATTATAAAGAAGTAACCCCCCCCCCCCCCCCCCCCCTCTTGAAATGGGCTGACTACTTTGCTACTCTGTTCGCATGTAATATAATTCCAAGCAAAGTTGAAATCCTTTTTTGATTTTTTGTTTAGCACAATCAGACGCACCCGCTGAATTTGTCGAAGGATTCGCTTGTATTACACCTTGTTATGCTCTCGGCTCAAGAAAATTAAATTTTTAAAAAACGCGCACTTCTCGATTTCATGAAATGATGGGCCAATCGGAAATAATAAAAGTCGCGTATATATTTCATAGCGCTTGGAATGAATAATAAAAAAATATATGTCATTATAGGGTGGGGGAAGCCTGGATGTCATTGGTTATATCGGGAGGGGATGACATAGGTTGCATTTAGTCATTGGGAGGGCATGTCATAGGGTTATTAGGTAAGGCAAGTGCATTTTATAAATAGCGCGGGATTATAACACATACTGTCAATATGAATTTTTTTTTCATACGTGAGCTATAAGACGTAACCGGTATTGATACTGGTTAGAGTGTAGGCAATGAAGCATTATCCTATCCTTACGTAGACACATTGGGTTACAAGGCGCACTGTCGATTCTCGAAAATTTTTTATTAAAGTGCCTCATGATCCGTCCGTAAAATACGATAACTGCTAACATCGCAGTTTACACATCTTGGATTCCGTTTTCATTCTCAACCCCTCACCCAGGGTGTAATAAATTTGGGAGAGGAGAATGCCGAGTCGCAATTATATATGTTCTTTCAATAAATAACATCTTCCTAGGTATAGTAGGGCTGGGCATTTTGAATATTTGATGATTTCATAATCGAATATTTTTTTAGAATCGAATCTTGAAGGATTTGAACTTGTATAAAACTTTTTTATTGTAATGGGTCCTACGGGCACGGAAAGTTACTGAAAACATAGAATCTGAAACTCATACAGTTTGCTGAGCGTTCACACACGATAAGAAACGTGTTTCATTAAATAAACCCTCGGAAAAAAGTATTCGTATATGTCATATAATTACATTGTAAAAATATGGCTTCAATAAAAAAATTGAGGAATACAACTTGACCTTTAGCGGCCCAAAATATAAGATGGCGGCGATCCAAAATTTGTGTCTGGACCGATTCGAATAATTTACTATTCGATTGAAAATGGCTTCTTGTACAAGGCCTTGTTCTGAGTGAAGCAATAAAATATTCATATTATAATGGGAGTGAAAGAGTGTTGCAAAAGTGCTGATAAATATCGCAAAAAGAAATTGGTTACAGATTTCAGAGTAATATTCGATTCATGAAAAAATCACGCGTTTGCAGTCATGGGAAGGTCGGAGGGTTCGGTGCCAGAGTTTGTTGAGTTAGGCATTCCATATATTTTCTAATTACTTCTACAAAAATGAAGTAAAAAAAACATCAAAAGTTATGTTTTCTCTAGTATATGTTCCAAATCACCTTCCATGTATTGTATACAGACTTGCATCCGTTGTGCAAAGCGTCCTAGATTAATTCGGGTATAATCATGCACAAACAGAAGTTTAAGTATAATAAAAATTAAGTAAATTTGTCTCTTTTTTGTAATGTTTTCCTAAAGGTAATGCAGGAATTAATGGGTTCCTTTTCTAGGATCACCCTGTACAATGCAGACAAACCCTCAGCTCTGCTGAACAGTTAAAAACTTTGATTCCTTATTGTTATCTTACTGATATTCTAGGTTTAAGCATTTAGCAAGCTAATTGAAGTCCGTTATGATTTGTGTAAAAGTATTTTGTCTTTTCCTTCTCATCGGCTTCTCTTTCGGAAAGAAATTACCTGGTAAGACTTTTTTAAATTTTAATATGGGTAATGATGATGGCTCTGGTAAACTTTTTTTAAACTCATAGTTTCGATAAAAACTTCTACTAATACCATGCAGCTCGGCGGGAGGCGCATCGTGCTGAGCGTTAGAAATACGCTCGCCACCGCACCTCTGATCATTCTGTAGGGCAGTGGTTCTCAACCGGGGGCCGGTGGCCCCCCAAGGGGGGCACGAAGCAGTTCAAGGGAGGCCACGACACAAGGCTAATAATTTAATATAAATCAACTTCGTTTGCATTTTTTTCCTTTAAAAGAAAATTCCCCGTTCACCTCAGTTTTATTACTTTAGTCACTAGGTGTATTCACTTTTTTGTGTGTGCGAATTGTTTGATCATAAAAGAATTTTGAATCTACTAATCCGAATAGTTTGTTGGTAGGCCATCTAACAGCAGACTGGCAGTTTTGCGAGACTGCGAGATAACGGTCGATATCATGTTATAACTGCAGAAGCCTAATATGTAAATTCCCAATTCCCAAACGGAACGACAGTTATGTTGGCTTTGACTTTATTGATGACATGGCTGCCGATGTATGCTAACAAGTTTGCTTTGAAATCAAGCAAAGAAGACTTTTCGAGTTTCTGGGTATACCTTTGCGATTTTTACCTACTACTTAATAAGAAAGCTTCTTCATTGCTACTTCAATTTACCACAACCTATCTGTGCAAATCTATTTTTTCTGATCTTGTTACGAACAAAGCAAAATCTAGGAACCGTCCTGATGTTGACAGTACAATCACCTGACTATATCAAAGACGGTGCCTAATATAAGGAACCTAGTCAGACAGTCCCAAGCGCAAGATTTCCAATGATCGTTTACTAATTTAAAAAGCATTGACTTTTTTACCCATGGTTTGTTTTTGCATTCTATAAAAAGTCGCCAATACATAATACAATCTAACACATCAATTTTTTTAGAATGACGAACAGGGGGGCCACGAGCCGTAAATAGTTGAAAACCACTGCTGTAGGGGATATTTATTTGCGAGAGAATTGCTGAACTTCTCATCACCACACGATGGTTCTTGTAACCGCTAGTCTGATACGGCTTCTTCTACTATCGCGTCCATGCATCTGAAACAAATTATAACTGGCTAACCCTATACCCGACATGGACTGGTAACCGGACGAGGTGACATGGTGCATAATGCGATTAGGCCATCTTATCGACTTTCTTCTCCCCGGGATAAATATGAAGAATCCTTTGTCTATCCTAACTCGCATGTAATCTCTAAGATCCGCCACAGGCAAAAATACCAGAATGCATATACTCGGATTACTGACGTCATTTTATATTTTTCAGATGGAGTCTGCGTCACCAAACTAGTGAAAGGGAAACTTGTCTCCGTAGGAAATTGCAAGGTAAATTATTATATTTCCAAACTCGTGAGCAAAGTACATTATTCACCGCGTTTCCCCAAACATAAGACCTAGCCTGAATTTTAAAAATGATTTTAATATACCCCCCCCCCCCCCTTTTAAAAAAAGACCTAGTCGATAGCGAGCTAGTCAATTTTTCAAATAAAAAGATAATATTTATAAGTAAATGCATATTGGTTTTCAAAATAAAATTGAAATAAGACCCTGTATTATTATTGGGGAAACACGGTATCAGTCATGAAGTGCTATAATTATGCAAAGCGCCCAACTTGTAGGATAAAATCGTTGACCCAAATGCGAACAGGTTATTTCGTTCTGGCTAATCCAATCCGATTGGTTCAGAATCGGGAGTTGAATAAAAATTCTTGGGGCCTGGATTATTCCAATAAATATGATTTTAGAAATTGCTGTTTTATTAACAAGATTCAACTTTATTTCACAGAAAGACGACGGATCCGGTAAGAAGTTAAAACAGATTTTTTAAAGGACAGGTTGGATAAGTGCGAGTCATGTTCCCTTCTAAATAAATATTTTAATTTTGAAAATAAATCATTTATTGATCATGCTTTATGCATATTTGACTTTAACAAAAACAGTAGATAGGCCAGGTTTTATTTGAGAAATACTCTCGTTTTGCAAACCTAAAACTTATAGTGATTTGAGATTAATTCAGTTGATTTTAAACAAGGGATTTTTTTTTTTAATTTAGTTTGAGTTTAAAATTTAATGCCGAATTAGTAGATTCGGGGTTAGAATTATTCAACCGTCAAAACCAAATAACTAATTTCCGGCTTCCGCGTTGTGGAGAGTTACCGATTTTTAGTCGAGAGAGTTTACCGATTTTCGCGAATATATGATGACCTGATTATATATGAATATATACGAATATATGACATTATAAAGCTTCAATCCCTATAACTGTTGCGAACTCGACTTTAAATGAGAATAATGATATTTTATTCCTCCACTTGATTACCTGCGTCGTAATTCAAACAAATTTTATTTCTTTTTTTACAGAGATTGCCGCCCTGATTAAAAGAAGTTTCGCAATCAAGCAGAGTAATTTCTTTAGAAATTTTGCAATGAGTTGAATATTTGCAATAAAATAAAATATTGGTTAAAACTCTATGCCTCTGTGGCAAGGCCGGATCCTGCCTTTAGAAGACCTTAGCACTTAAGGCTTTGATGCTTCATTTATGTCATTCAAATTATGAACACAACTGAAAAATGTATTTCAATTGGGCCAGTATCAATTCAATCTTATCACACAAAATATTCAATGACAACAATAATATTTTCAGATAAATGTGACGTCATATATGATTCCAAATGCTTTCAAATAGTTGCGTATGAAACAGGAAACGTCACCTTCACCGATGTTGAACCAACTTGCAAATCAAAGAACATCGGAAAACTCGCCAATATTCACGATCTCGCACATTACAAGCTGCTGGTCTCATATATTCGCTCACTGATTCCTGCTGGTCGGTCAGATATTTACATCTGGACAGGGATGGAGTATAAGGTCAGTTGATAGATCGCAATATCACACTTATTTTTGTAAGCTTCACCGGGTAAAAAAATTACTCAATAATGAGAATAATAATGACTTCTAATGATTTAATATTATTTTAATATTAGAAAAATTTAAAATATAGACTGTCATTTACATACACCATGACGTCATAAACGATGTGTACAGACATTTTTTTTTAATTTTGAATATTTCGTCCATTACCACAATCAAATATTTTTACAATATGTCATTTGCATTACCATTTTAAGCAACAGATTTAGAAACTATTTATTCAATTGTTACAGAACAATAAGCTTTTACTGAACGACGGAAGACCATACACTATTGCAACAAATGTGTGGTATCCTGGCCATCCGTCTTCCGCTGCCCCGCGAACAAGTGTTGCTATTTATCTCCGTAAGGATCCAGGGTATGCATATCAGGGAATGTTCAGTGAACACCCATCCTGGACGAAACACGGTGTCATCTGTGAAATGTAAAAGCAGCTTAAAACCTGACAGAACTTTGTTGACGGATTCGATGATGTACTAGACAAAAACAGTTAGTTAAATGACTGTTGTTATGTACATAGATTTTAAAAGAAATTTTGTCTTAGTTCCAGTTATCATAGGTTCCATGTCTGATTACACATAATTCATAAGACCCAAAGACAATCAAATCTTAAATTATTCTTCAATTTTACTAAATCGCATATTTTTATAAAGTCTGTTTTGCAGGCATTAAAACCTGATTTTATTTATGAGAGAAGACTAAATTACGTGTTTATTAAAGTTATATTACTGATATTTTTATTTGTGCATTTCTCATTCCACACTGAAGTCGGCCTGTGATTATGATTAGACAAAGGCCACACAAGTATGCTCGTCTTAATAAATAAAACTTGCTTTTTTCATTATTAGTTAGTTTCAGTGGAAGAATTAGAAAATCTAAGAACGGGTTCTCTTTTGCATCGAACTCGCTAACAAAGGGTTCTCTAATTTTAGAGAAACATGCGGAACTAAATAATATAAAAACCTGGAACAGTTTGAACCCTGCCACTGCTTACTTATATATTATCACTTTACTATTATTCTATTATTAACCGTATATCCCATGCTATAAATTGGTCGCCTTGTCTATTGAAACTTTTTGCTCAGTAAATAAATTCATAGCTGTCTCCATGTGATTTCTGTATATAACCAAACATGATAATAAATATTGATTCGATCATTTGTGGTTTTCTTCGTTATTGTTCTGAACCAGTGAATCGAACCTTGCAAAATCTAGGGTGAGAGTTCACCTTTACGGCGTTAACACTATTGAGGATCTATTGTTAAAGATTCAAGAAAAACGGAAAAGGGCTTTGTATACATAGGGAGGAATAAAATGTTCAAAATAGAAAATAGAGGAATTAGTCTCGAGCTCGGTAAATCATATCCTTGTCGAACCGGTTAACTAATCTTATTGTCAACATGAACCGGTAACCGGACAAAAGACGTAATTCGCCATAGGATTATTATCGGCTTTCCTTTCTCTGGGATGAATATGAAAATTTTATCTTATAGTTGTGAGTGTTACTATGGTTTGCAAAACAAGAGAGCGATGCTCAAATATATGGACACGAAATCTAAAACAAAGTACTCTTTGCACCGTACTTACCGGTCAGTATTGATTAATCTCCGAGTTTCGCGTAGCGTCGCGTATATTCGGAAAACGCTGACATGCAATTCATGTTTTCATAAAAAATGAAAATATTCTGGATGAAAATTAGATATCATAGGAAATTTAGGAATACTGTAAATGTAATGTGAATGTAATAAAATAATAGCGTTCTAGCAAAAAATACCATCCTTAACCACTGAAAATTTCAAAACAATCGGTCCATGAGTGAATTAGAGAATCGATTTTTCAAAATGGAACCAGAAGAAATACAATAAAAACAACATTTTACAAAAACAATCTATTGGTCCATTATGTATCCAATAAAACCTCTCTCGCATTATCTTGCGCGGTTGAAAAATTTTCTTATCCGGATTCACGAAACTTGACTCCTTTAATCTGGTTTAGTCAAACCAGCATTGTTCCTAGGCTCTGCGTTGGTATGGTGTATCTTCATCAATTATGCGAATTCCACTTTACAGCAGAAGCTTTATCTGTTCTTCTCATTGACTGCACTATCTTATAATGATTATATGTGTTTTTACCAAAATAAAATTTTAAAGATTCCAAACTGGCTATTTTTGGATTTTTTCTTTATGAAATCGAAGCCAGTCATCGGCTATCTAGCTGAACCAATCGCTGCTGGTCGGTCACGGCTTTTCTCCATCATCAAGTTCATGCTTCTGTACACTAATCCCATACCATTCTCTCTTATGTACTTCACACAATCAATGCCACTGATTTCAAACCTGATGCCTATATGTTGAACCGATGCTCACTTGTTCAAATTGTCGGGATTTTCTTGGATAGGAATTCCAATAAAACTGCATTCATTGCTAGATTTCTAACCAGCATAATGTTCGGCTATTCATCGATATGCTTTTGTAAAACCGAATATTAAAATGTGCCACAGTAAATTTATTTTTGGATCTAACAGCCTAAGTTAATATATACATTGTCGACAATACCAAGTGACAAACATGGTTTAATATTATCGAAGTTGAAATCAGAGGTATCAAGGGGCTCAAATCCCTCGTCTACTACATATGGGCAGCTATAAAAAGGAGAAAAAAAGATTTTAAACAAGCAAACACTACTGTTACTTGCGAGCAGAATATTAAGACAAAAAAGCAATACTGCTGAGCAGCCATTTTACAGCTCTAGTACACAATTATATGGATATACTGGTATAATCTAGCGGGGTTTATATGAGACAGGATTTACATATTTAGGAGAGGGAAGTAACGTTCCTTCTAAGCTGCGCAGCTGGCCGAGAATCCCTGCGCAGTACTTTCGTTCTGCCGCGCACTGCATAAGTATTAAAATGTTGTGTTCTTTTCTATTGCGCGCAGACCTTTTTTTTGAGCTCACATGGCCTTCTATTCCGCGCAACTTAGCAAGCTCTTAGGACAGCGGTGGGCAACTTCTCTAGTCGGCGGGCCAGATTTGGGAAAATGAAGTCCTCGGTGTGCCGAATTATTACAAAAAATACTCAGGTATCCAATCTTTGTTAAATGCTCGACACTCTCTGTCAACTTTACGTTTCTTGGGATAAAACCTAATATAAAAGATTCAGATTCAGATTCAGATATTTATTTTCATCGTGCAAGAAACAATGCAAAATAATAAACACACATAAAAATAACAAAAAAACGAAAGACATTGAATCTAGCAGTTGATGAGGGGTCGCGAAAGACTCGGTGAGTCATCCAGTCAGCGACACCTTTTTGATAAGTTTAAGCAGCAAATACAGGAGAGAAACATTTTTTTTAACTTAACCTAAGAAACACAATGATAAAAATTCAACAGAACCGTGAGAAAAAACTTTGTAATATATTTCGTATAGATGGCGCATTAGCGACATCTAGAGTATAGGATATGCCCGATGAGTAAAAGTAAAATCTAAATTCTAAGATCTATTTATATTAGGAGGAACGTTGGAGGAAAGCCGATACGACGTCTTAACTATACGGTGAACCCCGATATCTCGTCCGGTTACCTGTCCATGTTGGGTATGGGATTAGTTAGTTAGTTGTTTGTGTCAGATGCATGGACGTGATGGTGGAGAAATACGTAAACAAATACTTCGATACCTCCACAATGAGTTCAGTACAAGGCTTAGGATTCAAATAAGACATAACAGAATTATTTGCGAGTCTTTTTTTCAGTATACAAAAAGCTTTTTCACTATATACAAAATCAACATTATGCTTAGCGAGCTCTTGACAATAGTTGAGTAAATGGGTACAAAACGAGACACATATACTAGGTAGACTTTACAGCAGGGGTACTCAACCTCCCAGGTAAATGAGCTGCATTTTGACCACAAAAGATGCGACGGGCCACAGAATAATATTACCATGTATTTGTAATATTCAATTCATTTATTAGTCCGATACTGATGTACAATTTGCTTTTTGTTTTCATTTTTATGCATTTTAAAATATAGTTATTGAATAGCATTCGCAAGTTTGCAGTTGCAACTTCTCCCCTAGCTAGAACTATGACAGAAATTTACAACATAGAAAAAAATATAATTACGCCCAACAGCAAAAATGTTTTTCAATTGCAAAAACGTTTTACAATTGTTTTATTCTTAATGAGAGTTCTGAGTCTGCATTCTGTTTACAAGTACTATACAATCTTTTTCCTAAGATCACAACCAGATGGATATGCAATTTTAAACTCTGGCTGAAGCTGTTTGTATTGTCGTTGTAAATTTGCTTGCTTCGGCACAGCAACCATTCTTTGACAAACAAGACACATGGGTTTCCCATTTATCTCTGCAAAAGCGAATTCATTGTTCCACGCAGAGTTAAAAACCCTGTTTTCGTCGTTTACTTTCTTCTTCTTTGTCGCCATGACTTATTGTTTTTTAAGTTGGACGCAGTGTAATACTGTTGTATAGCGCACTTCCGAAAGTGGATAGAGTGTGCGATGAGTGAGCTAAGTAACTCAATTTTTACGTAACAATACGTAATTCATCTGTTTTCAGTGATGACACAATCCATCGTCTTATCATGCGCTGTAAGGGATGAGAAGAGTGATACCGAATTTAAAAATCGTTTATATTCGTTGCGCCGCAAATTTAATGACACATGTTTGGGTTCATCAAAGATCTTTGGCTGGCCCCAAAATATGCATCGGTGGGCCCCATTGAAAACCCCTGCATTAGGGTCTCGTCTGCGATACACAAATCCTAGAATGTTTTTCGAGGACCGAATACCAGAGGATCGGACTTAACACAAGAACGATATATCTGCCAATCCCGAAGCCTCAAAACTGGACAACACTTCGTTGTAGTGTTTCAGGAAACAGTCTATCAATAAATCAATTTGATTTTGGTCACTCCGACGTATGATATAAATATCTAAATTTTCGAAGGTGACAAAATCAGGATTGTCCAGGGTGAATTGGAATCGAATCCAGTCAACTTTTGTCATATCCGATGTAATTAACTTTGCTCATATTCTACTTGTGTTAAAAATACAAAACCAACCCTAAGAAATATAGCCTCCTATCTCTCTGTTTAACCCAAGTTCTCTGATTGATAGATTTTCACAGGGATATTTGGAATAGCAAATATCATTTGTTCTCCACTACAGCCCACCATAGTCATGAATTGGTGGTTGGGTCTCTGGTCCATAATATAATAGCCTCATAATTTCAATAGGGATGCGTATCTAGGATAAATTTATTTTACACCAAACCCCAACTATGGTTCTCTAGGACTTGGTCATATTTACTCTGCCCTCGGACTGAAGGTTGAAGAGAATTTCGACCTTAAAGTTTGTTATAGGCCAAGGCTACTCAACTATTTTTATAATAGAACCGCATCCGCATACAAAATTATTTAGGTCCGGTCTTTCCAGAAATTATATTTCGGCATCCTTAAACGCGTACTTCCTCGACCGGCTAATGATTATTAGATAATGAAGATTGTTGGACACGTAGTGGACATAACGATCGTTTCAATATTATGTTGTTGTTGTTCTTGTTCTTTGACACGTTTTTAAAAAGTCGCTTTTCTCTTCGAATACTGGACCAATTGCTTTGAAATTTTCAGTGGTTAAAGATTAATTTTTTTGCTAGAAGGCTATTATATTTATTTATTTCAAAATTTTGCGTGAATTCTATGAAATTTGATATTTCGTCTAAAATTTTGCTGTATTATTTTTTATCCATGGGAACACGGATTTTAGTCAGTGTCATGACTGGCTGTACGTTTTGATTCTGCAAAATTCTTGCTACTGGAAATTCAGAACTTTTTTGTGGGTACCGGTAGCGTCAAAGGTACAGGTAAGGACTGATTCGCTCTGGTCTAACGTGTCCATATATTTGTGCGTAGCTCTCTTGTTTATTATGGTGTTATAGCTCTTCTCATATGTATTCAAAACTATAAAAGTCATTTTGTAAAAGAATAGTTCAAAAGTGGGGCTAGGGATCCAAAATAAAGAATTAGGTGCGGTCCGAATCAAATACTCGAAAGATCCGGATTCGGACCGCAAGCTGAGTAGCCCTGGTATAGGCAACCACCTCCTATCGTCTTCATATAAACGCCTTTAAGTTCACAAAGGAGATACATATTTAGATTACCACCATACCCAGCTGGCTGTTGGCCCTCCGCGCGTAGCGTTAAATAAAGATTGTATCTAGTGGGAGATAATTATTCGCTGGACTACTCATCGCTGTAAGGTGGTTTTCATAATCATTGGTCATTTGCGGCTTTCTCCTCAATCACGTCTATGCATCTGTACAAACAAATGATTGGCTAATACAACACCAGACTGGTGGTAATCGAACGAGAAGCTTTGATATGTTCAAGCCGTCTTATGGCCTTTTCTTGTGCTCAAGACTAAATTATCGATAAAAATATGTCTAAGCGGTTTTTGTAATCCCGAAATCTTGAAACATTCATTCTCTATCGCAAAGAAATGTCAGTCATCTGCTCACAAATTCAGTGATTAGTTTCGACTGTTAAGGTTAGCTATTTCCAAACGAGTTTTAGGCTCAGACAGAAAGCAAAACTTGATACAGCAAGGCATTAAGCTTTCTTAACAATCTATTAAAGAAGTTTCAATCATCTAAAATTTAATTTTTCCTTGTTTTTACAATTCAGAGCTAAAATCTAAGTCAATTTTTTGTATTGTCAAATTTCGGCAATTATCGATTGTGAATTTCTCAATACCTCATTTTAGTCTTAATTAGTCTCAGAAGAAATCATAAGTCTGCAGATGAATTGTTTGAAGCGCTGTTTTGTAAAAAGTGCTCAATTTGAAATAAACACTGCTCTATACAGACCAGCACTTCATTATGGCCAAGAAATAGAGAAGCCATAATTTGTATACGAAACAAGAGCTTTAACATTCATCGTCCTGATAGAAACAGTCCAGGGAAATGAGGACAAGTGTCCTTGCAAGAGGCAGATATTCTTAAAATCATCAATTCGGAAAACCATTCAGTTTCGTGAGCGTAAAGAAAGAAGTAAAAATTAAAACGGAATAAAAAAATAAGTCAAATTACAGCATTCCCGAAGTATGTGAACCAAGATGGTGGACTCCGGAACGTAGTATGTGTACCGGGTTAGGGTTAGGCCATAATTTCAGGTACAAATACTACGGAGTCAATTGGGTAGTCCCTAAACTTGAGGAAAATTGGAAATAAATTATGGCTTAACCCTAACCTACTACGTTCAGATGTCCGCCATCTTGGTTCACATACCTCGGGAGCACCCAAATTACAGCATTCAGTATCAATTACTGATGATTTTGTATGGGATTTCATTTTCACACTGAAAGTGAGAAACCCAACAAGACGCTTCCAACGCAGTCAACCAACTAATTGTGCTGTCGTACGGAGGTCTGGCATAGGAATGCAAGCCTATTGTAAGATTAGGACTCTTATACTTGTATGAGAGATCAGTTTGCAACTACAGGAGGAGCCGTGCCATTGTTTTCAGGGGCCGTGCCATTGTTTTCAGGAGTCGCGCCATTGTTTTCAAGAGTCGTGCCAATGTTTTCAGGAGCCGTGCCATTGTTTTCAGGAGACGTGCAATTGTTTTCAGGAGCCGTGCCATTGTTTTCAGGAGTCGTGCCATTGTTTTCAGGAGTCGTGCTATTGATTTCTTCTTGATATGGTAATGAATCGTCGTTGTCTGCCCCAACCTGATCGAGTACTGCCATCACCTCCGGTTTATCATTGTCGATCTCTGGAGAAGGGGAATATGAGAAAATAATTAAATACTACATAAAAAATACCAAAGTTGTCCACTGACAAACCTAGGGTGGCGATTTGAACTTTGATATAAAATCGCATAAAATTTGAATAAACAGATTGTAATTTTCAGAATCCAAATATCGCAAAGTGAAGCAAGACTTCATAAAACTTCAAAGAAGTGCTCGATTATTGCCAGTTTACGAAGTCAAATAATCTCACAATTGCAGAATATCAAAGAGTCACTATACCCCATCTCTATTCCATCATTCATGTTTCAAAATATTAACTTGGAAGGAACTCAGAACAGCAGATTTCTGTTTTTTTGCCATACCTGGTTTGGAGGGAGGGGATATATATTATCAAAGAATTAGTAAAGATAATGCAGGAATATTTCATTCCGAGACTATTTCAGCAATTCGAAAGGAGAACAAACCTTCAGCGACGTGTCTTCTCTTTGCTTCTGTCTCTCCGTCATCATCTTGATCACGACGTTGTCGGTAAGAATCTCGATCTCTCTCACGACTGTTGTCTCGACTTCGACGACGCCGTTCACCGCGATACTGAAGTTAAAACATCGGTTCACTCAGATTTTCTGAGGGTTCACAGTTGGGGGTCAAAATGCGAAAAAATGAACAACTATGTCAAACGCATCAGGGAGTACAAGTATTATAAATTGGGCCGCATAAATTTCGCAAAAATCAATCAGAGCTCCAGAAAGTATGTGCACCAAAATGGCGCACAACTTGAACATAGTATGTGTAGTGGGTTTGGGTTCAGGTTGTGCGCCATTCTGGTGCACATACTTCGGGAGCGCCAATCAATCAATATTTCGAAATATTGAATTTGAAGGGCCTATTTGATGCTAAGAGCTGAAACAACAGTTTTTCAAATTTCCAATTCTCTCCTAATTCAAAAATATACCATCTTGGATAAAACTAATTCTGGTGACCAACATATCGTTTCTGATATCCACATAATCAAAAAGCAAACGGTGTTCAATTACATTTTGTTATATTACATCTTTGCTCAGTGCAAGCTGACAAGTCCTCAGCTCAAAGTCGAAAATGCTAGTAAACGCAGACTTTCCAAGAGACATATATTTATTTATTATTTTCAGCATACGGCAAACCTCTCGTCCTGTTACCATGTCCAGTATGTGTTAACAACTCATGGTCATTGATGGCGCAGGACGCTGTAACTGACCATGTGAACCACCCAGTGTTTTTGGGTTATGATAATCCATGCAAGACAATTATGGGCTCAAGATTCAAGGCCATGTTCTTCTTGCGGTCTCTTTAGTACTCCGTACCATAACGGGAGAGTCACCCTCGTACCTCAGCTCACTTCAGGTGGAACGAACATAAAAGAATGTGAAATACCTGGTCTCTGTCACCATGACGATCTGAAATGAAAAATTAAATGGATTTAGTTTTGAGTTTTATTTGAAATTGAGTTTTGGTACAAAACAGGGATGACCAAACAAGAATAACCTACAATTCTGAAAATAATCAAAAATATATTCTCACATATTAAATATTATTTATATTTTAAATTGGTTGTGAAATAACGATGGTTAGATTGATTTCTATTTTCTACATATATCAAGAAAGAGGTAAAATGATTTACATATTTATCCCGGGGGAAAGAAAAGCTTATTTACATAGCGAACCACGGCCTCTCGTCCGGTTACTACTCCATGTTGGGTATGGGATTTGCAATCCAGTAATTTGTTTCACATGCATGGAATTGGGTGGAGGAAGCCGTAACCGACCAGTGGTTTACGTGAACCGCCCTGCGGCGGTGCGGAGCCCAGCAATCCTCTCGAACCCACACAGGTTATTACAGGTGCGAAACGAGCGTATTCCTAACGTTAAGCAAGATGAGCCAGCCACATTGCCAATTATGATTTTCAAAAAGGAAAAAATATCCCAAACGATTTCCTAAATTTAGATTCCCAAAATAAATTGTTGAGCAGGTTTGAAATCTATAACTGACCTCTCCTGTCATCGTTGTTGTTTCTCTTTCTCTCAGAATCTGAGAAAATTAGGAAAAAATGTCACTGAGAGGTATTGGATAAGAAACTAAATCAACTAATGCACATACTCTGGTGTTCCGCATGGAATACATTGATCATACTTTTAAATATGTATCTGTGATGTAACAATTCATAGCATAACTGAAGCGAACAATGCAGACATCTTAAATGCCATTGGTAGCTAGATAAGAACTATTCTCTGCGTATGCCCTATTTTCATTCTTCGGTTGAAAAACTCCATAGTATAATTCTTGAATTAGCAAAACCAAATGGATACTTATGCCTATATCATTTGCAATCATTCAATTAATTATCACTTAATTCTGTATTATAATTCTTGACGACGTTGAAAGTTTCAAGTTATGATTCAAAAGATTAGATTGTTGGCGAACGAAGTTGGTGACGGATTGTTGAAACCTCAACTACTGGGCATACCAGGTTGACTTACTTCGATGTATTTATTTATTTTTTCAAATCACCTATACATTCAGACTTTTTGTTATTATTGATGAGCAACACACCAATTCCTCTAGCAATAATTACCTTGGCCATTCTCTTCTTCTGTCTGTCGAAGCATCCCAAATCCGACTGGTAGACCCATAGCAGCGAGAGCATCAGCATCAACATCTTCTGCGACGTAGGCTCCAACTTCTTCTGCCTCTTCCTCTCGACGCTTCTTTAAAACCTGCCAATATGGACAGAGACAAATTATACAATAGAGATTGGTTCACTAGAACATTGGCTTTATGTTTATGTTTTTTATGAACAAGTTTTTATGTGCTCACAAACTATGTGCACCAAGATGGCGCACAACCTGAAACTAGTATGTGTACCAGGTTAGGGTTCAGGTTGTGCGCCATCTTGGTGTATATCATTCCGAAGCACCAGTTTTTATGAAGACATAGTAGCATTCTGAATTGACAGTTTCTAGCTATGCAAATAATAGTAGCAGTTAGTGCTTGTACAAAACTATATTTGGATACCAGTAAACTGCAGCATAAAAATACCTGATGTCCAAAATTCTCAAGGAGTAAACACACACCTCGTTAAAGTATAGTACCTGTGTGTTAGTGTTCAAATCTAAAGTGACACCAAGAATTTTTAGTTTAATTATTTTTTGTTGTTGAACTCGGTAGTCGTTGATGATATTAATTTTCAATACAAGTTGGCGGGGTTAATTTGTGGGCAGAAAAGCGGCCACAGTCGTCATGAAAGGTATGAATCAGAGCTGGCATGAAGAATTTATAAACCCGGTTTGTCAATCTTAACACTCCTTTATTGGCAGTGGGAAATTTGAGCTGTGTTTTCACCCCTTTATGGGTACTCCCGTAGTATGTGTACCAGGTTAGAGTTAGGTAGGCCATAGCTTTATTCCGATTTTCTTTATTCTAGTTCTATCAGGAGTTCGAGGTCTGTTTTCACTGGCCACACTGACAGTTTGAAGTGCAAAAAAACTAATCATTGACGTTCGCTGTGGCACAAGACTCAAAGTGAAATAAGGAGAAGTATCTTTGCAGACGTTCTAAGATAACTCATACTGACAAACAGTCAGCTGGTATAACAAGAATTAGCTTTGTGAAACTTTCGGAATTTAATTTCAGTGTAGAATTTGAAACATTTCTCTAGAGTTCTGGTCATGGGAACTCACTTGTAAACAATCCCTGGAATACTCACCTCTTGACGTTTCCTCATATATTCTAATTCTTCAGGGTCAATTTCATCTCTATCTCTCTCATTTCGGTCACCGAAACCACCTCCACAACCTCTGAACCCTCCATGACCTCTGAACCCTCCACGACCTCTGAACCTTCCGCCTCCACCACTGTGACGATCACGGTTACCTGAACACAAACATAGATTGAAAATGTCTGAGGAAACTTGTTTTGATTTAGGCAGAGAGTAACTATTACTTCCTGTGAAGACCTAAACTAGGGAAGTATGATACTAGTATTCTAATATTAATCATTTAAAAAATGAACATTGGCACTTCTATTTGGAAGAAAAACTCATTAGAAGTTTTGTATGCTTTTGGGTATTTCATCTTTTTGTTTGTTTTTGTGAGAGTTACCCAAAATGTCTATACACTATAACAACGGTTCTCAACCAGGGCCACAGGAACATTTTGAGGAGACCAATTAAAAAACGCCAGATTCGTTAATCATAAATTCATGTAAATTTAATTGTGGTAGCAATGAATGGTGGTGCTGTTTTATTGTTACAGGGTGGCAATTGTCTTGTAATTTCTATAGAAGTGAACCCCTCATCTTGGGTTGAGGATCACCAACTAATCCAAGATATTCGGGGAGGGGTGTGTCTTCCCAGAAATATAAAAATCAGCATATGCTTGATTGGAGCCTTGTTTGGAGTGAAGACTCCATAAAAACATCAGCTGAAGTAACTTCGAATTTCTCTCAACATCAGTGCTTTTACTAAGTCCCACTCATAGCAAAAAGCGCAGGTTCGATAAAAGTTTTATCTAATTTCCACCTCCATATTGATCTCTTCTATCTCCATAGCTTGAACGATGCCGTCTGTCATCTCTCCTGCGATCATCTCTCTCATATCTGTTGAAAATATGTGGGTTTGTCCGACCCCAGAAAATTAGATACTTCATACTGAGGGTCAAAGGTGAATATCACGGTGGAATGACAGTTTATCCTTGTTAATATCAAGTTATTTAATCGTGGCAGCCATTATCCCGCAATGCAAAGGTGAATACAGGGATGGCCAAAACTCAATAACTTACAATCCGAAAAACGTTACGAAGTAATATCTTCAACATGTTACTTAATATAATATGGTCATGTTCATCATATAAGCAGCCAATTTTTCAAAATTTAAATGACAATTCGAAATATCGAACATAATTAAATTGAAATTTATTTAACTATTCGATTCGTTTTGGTCATCGTGAATGTACTTTAACTGAGACTAAACAGTTGAAGCGACAGGATTTCGAATTGAACGTTCGTTTTTAAAATTATTCTGACTTAACCGAAACAAATACTTGGTCACACAATTGAAACATTTAAATGATGCATTTACGATGTGACCCTCAGTATGTTACTCTTGGTTTCTGACTCCGGTATCAAACGTTGATTTCCTTCATGTTGGATCCTTGGCCTGAAAATATAAACTTTATCGTTTCGTTGGAAATGTTACCTCCTGTCTCGGTCTCTTCTGTCTCGATCTCTGCTTCGATCGTTGTACCGGTCCCGACCTCTGCAGAAATGAAATATTATATGAGTTACTGTTGCACTTAACGTTCAGACGTCCCATCACCCAACATGGGCCAGCAGCCTCGAATGTTGTGCTGCATAATGTTATGCAGGATTGCAAGTCGAGTTTATTTTTTCCAATCAGTAAAAAACATTAATAATCGAACACAAATTATGAGAATATGATAATCATACAGATTTACTGGGGAAGGGAAGTCGCGGGAAATCACAGCTGGTTATCAAGCAGTGACACCCAAAGGACTCAACAATGTCGCACGGAGGGATGGTTGGGTGACCCATGCACCTAGAACAATTATTCATCAATTATTCCCATATACAACCACATCCCATTGAGGGAAGTTTAGAAACGTTAGAGCAGGGGTCGGTAACCTACGGCCCGGATTCGGCCCGCAGAGTAATATAGTTCGGCCCGCGACGTCTCACTGAATATAGTAACAAAACAGGTGTTTTGACGATCACATTCTGTACATAACAGACTTTATTGTAAGACAAGTGTACACTAGATAATATTATAATCTAACAAGCATAAAATTCATAAGTACTCGTTTATTGTGCCCATAATTTAATTATAATTAGACAAATGGCAACGAAACGCAGAAAAGTTGATGCTTAATGTAAATGGTTCGAATGCGGAAATAAGTCCATATTCTATTCGAGAGATGTATCACTGCTTCATTTTTATTATAAAAAGTATCATCCTTTCGATTTTCAACTTTCTAGAAATATGTGCGACCCGTCAATGTCTTGCAACCTTTAATTTTGGCCCGTGAGCAACAAAAGGTTGCCGACCCCTGCGTTAGAGCATACTATATAACTGAGATGTCTCAACAGGTTTCCTCTCCTAATCATTGGATTGGCCCATTTAAGTTCAAACATTAAAGCACCATCACAGAGATCAAGGCATTACAGGACAAAATATTAACAATCTAACAGAACAATACTAGGTCCTTGAGAGTGTGGTTCAATCGCAAAAGTTGGTATTCATGTAGTATGTGAACCAAGATGGCGGACACCGGAATGTAGTATGTGTACCAGATTAGGGTTAGGCCATAAGTTCAGGTACAAATACTACAGGAGTCACTTGCCTAGTCCCCGAACTCATAAGAGAACTGAAATAAGGAAAATTGGAATAAAATTATGGCCTAACCCTAACCTGGTATACATACTATGTTCAGGTGTCCACCATCTTGGTTCACATACTACGGGAGCGCCCACAAGTTACCCGGACACAACACAACAAATAGTTATATAAACTAATTCTTTAGGAACCTCTGCAATCCTGTCTGACATGAACATTCCAAATTCTATGCATTCCATACACAATACATCTGGAATGTTTCCCTTTTTACAGTACAAGTAACGTCCGTTACCCTATTATGGCCACTCGCCAATTTTCACCACACGCCTTCAGAATCGCCCTGCTGCAGTCGCACTTTCAGATAGCGCTGAATATGAGTTGTTTTCGGGTTGCGACGTCATAACTCATGAGTGATAAATATTAAACATATTCTGTCATCCGGTGGCGTAAAGACATTTCAATAAAAACATACATTTTTGTAAAATGTCAAAATCAGCTGATATCACGCTCGGCCAACTTTTTGGGAGGCCGGTAATTACTAATTAGCAGCCCAAAATAGCGCGACAGTGTTTATTTATTTTAGTTTTTGTCAGTCAGTGTTAGATCGACGCTGAATCAAGTTTGAAATGGGAAGTGTTTGTAAATATCGTGCTGTTGTTATTTCTCGCATCCACAGGGTGGCAATAATAGGATAAGAAAATTATGGCTCGCCAAAAAGGAGGACCGAAAAAATCGTGAAAAAACAAAACAGCAATGCTCAATAATGTGAGGACAAAATCTAAAACGAAGTGTTATCAAATCTTTCACAGTAACAGTAGTCTCATTTAATAAAAAAAACTCCCGATTTCGCTGACCGCCAGATCGCCCCAATGTGATCGCAGAACCGCCATGCTACGATGCGCAATTTTTAATTTTGATGACGTCATCATATAAAATTTGAAGTGAAAAACAAATCTTGTAGGGGCCACATAACTGTTTGAAATAAATAAAAGTAATAACCTTCTAGCAGCAGTAACACTCCTTAATCACTGAAAATTTCATAGCAAATGATTATGTATTTAAAGAGAAAAGCTATTGAAAAAAAAGTTTGACATAAGTGGTGATAATAGGATAATCGTAGTTCCTATTATCGCCATACCCACATTTCCACTATATTCGTGAGGCGTTGCTATAGCAAATTCATTTCGCGACTCGCTGCTGTTGGCATTTTTTTCTCCGATCTGTAGCTAATGTTCCGAGACAATATATAGAAATTATTACCAGAAGTGAATGGTCTTCGAAGGATTGTAATAAAAAATGGCGATAATAGGGTAACGTACGTTAACTATTACTGAAATTTTTGTCTCACTAACAATTCCACGAGGTGGCATATGACAGTTTGAGTTATGAGCTTTATTTCAGTCACGTTTGAAATTGTTATTCAATTATAATGTACAAATACTGGGTTTATTTATTGATATTTATTTTCAGTAGTGGCAAATGTACGTCAGCGCTGATACCATGTCCACATTTTTCTTTGGCGCTATTCAAGCAATTACAGTCAGACAGTATTCATTTTTACATCACAATTTTGCTTGCCAGTATTAACGTAGTAACAGCATTTAATTCGATGGACTCAAATTTTCTATAAATCCACATGTGCAGATTTATTTGTATATTATTATTTGCTTGAGCTGGTTTGGATGGGATTTGCATATTGATCCCAGGGGAAAGGAAACACGATAAGACGGCCTAATCATATGGCGAACCACGGCCTCTCTTCCCTGCATCAGGTTACCAGTCCATGTCGGGTATGGGATAAATTATTAATTATTCGTTTTCCGAAGCATGGACTTGATGGTGTAGGAATCAGAGGTGCAGTGGCGAGCGTATTCCTAGCGCATGTGACGCACCAACAATGAACACAGTAATGAAAATACCTGTCCTCGTATCTCCAATCGTCTCTCCCCATCTTGCACTTCTGATTGAAGCAGCGAACAAGATCCAAGACTGCGTACTGCACAGACTGTAAGACTAGTCTAACAATTCCTAAATCTAATGGAAAAAAACAGGATCAGAAAATTGACTTGGCTAAAGGATGCCAGTTGAAAAATTTTAATAGTTATGCAGGAAGAGAAGTAAGCCGACAAGACAGCTTAATCATATACATGCTAACATGCATATAACTGTAAGTGTAAGTTTATTCAACTCCATAATCTGCATAACAATAAAATTATAAATAAAAACAAAGAAATAAAAAACTGAATTTGAAATCAGGAGGGTAAACAAAACCTTAGATAAGGTTTAAAACGCACAGAAGTATAAGGTGGAAGGTTTTGCAAAGAAGAAGTGGTACGTGCTCACTCACCAAAAAAAAATCATCAAATTATATCATACACATTCACACGCACCCACCACACACGTGACTCACACGCACCCACCACACACAACCACAGAGAAATTACCTAAAAAAACGTGATAACTGATAAGCCTATGGTGAATTACATACTGACATAGTAAACAAAAATAATAAACAAAAAAGGAAAAAATAATTTGCCACTCCATATCAATAATTTAGTAATAGTTTTGCCTCACCGACTTTTTTGGCATAGTCATGATTTTGCTTCACATTTGCTTTGGGAGCTCAACCATATATGACTAAAATAAAATTGATTTATGGCAAACCACGGCCTCTTGTCCGGTTACCAGTCCATGTCGGGTATGGGATTAGTTAGTCAGGTATTTGTTTTCGGAAGGATGAACTTGATGGTGGAGGAAGTCGTGACTGAAACAGCGAAAAGCGGTTTATAAACCACTCTTCGGCGCAAGGAGTCCAGCAATCCTCTCGCACATAACCACCCCTGCATGGGATTCGTACCGTACCTGCGAACCCACTCTTACTCAGAGTAATAAGAGACGGGGTGGCCCGTGTATTCAGTTATTCCTAACGCTTAGCACGATGAGCCACACCACCGCGACTATCAATCAATCATTTATTTTGGTTCTCTGACCTAAACAATACAGAATGTAAACGGACAAAACAAAGTGCAGAGATACCTGGGAGACGAGCAGAACTTAAAATAAAGTTAAAAAGGGTACAATGTATGTGCCCGTCCACCAAAAAATAAATAAAACAAACACAGAAAAACGCGATTTAGAATCGGGCAGTACTTTGGAAGCAATTTAACAAATACAGCAAATTGGAGTGGATAATTGAATTGAATGTATTATAATTATATCCAGCTGACAGTCTACAGAACTGCGCTGGAAAGTTCTAACATTACAAACTGACTGATATAGTGAACGCATCTTTCTTCTTTCATAAACACGCCAACACTCATGCCGATTTTCAACGAACTTCTATGAACATCTCTTGAAACTTGAGGCTTATACTTATCCTAATGGACCTTTCCCCGACCTTTGACCCCCAGAAAATTCTTCCTATACTTTACCATTAGAAAATTTTCGAGGCTATTTTAGGATAGGATTTACATATTTATCCCGGGGGAGAGGAACGCCGATAAGACGGCTTATCCAGATGGCGAACCACGGCCTCTCGTCTGGTTACCATTCCAAGTTCGGTATGGGATTAGTTGTATTGTTTGTTTTCGGAAGCATGGACTTGGTGGTAGAGGAAGCCGTAACCGACCAGCGGTTACGTGAACCACCCAACGACGGCGAGGAGTCCAGCAATCCTCTCGCACATAACCATCCCTGCAGGGGATTCGAACCTGCGAACCCACGCAGAGTAATTAGAGGTGCGGTGGCGAGCGTATTCCTAACGCTTAGCCCGTTGAGCCACACCGCCGTGCCCTGAGCCACACCGCCGCGCCTAACCTTTTAAGAGTGCCTTTGCGAGTTGGCGCCTGTAAAATGGGGTATGTGTTTCGAACCATCATCAGGATTCATCGCATACAACAATCTGTTTTTTTTAAGTAGCTGTAAATGAATTTTAGCCTAGTTTATCACAGCTATTTTTACCCTAATTTTTTATTACTGCAATTAGATTAAAACTCTTAGGAAGACAGAGTGATCAATTGCCTTAGTGAACAAACAATTGCGTTAGCACACTTGTTAAACAAACAATATAAGGTCAAAGCAGACAGCGTTGTAAACATTCCCCACTACTGTTGATAATAAATGAAGCACAACCGGTGTTAGCAAAACGATGTAATATCAACATGAGTTTACCTGGTGGCAATCATGCACTATTCTCCACTACTGTTATCAGTTATATTTAGATTCTGAATATAAATAAATTTTATTAACCATGGAATATCCCACGAAACGAAAAGTTGACAGAGAGTGTCGAGCATTTAACGAAGATACCGTAGTATTTTTGTAATAATCCGGCCCGCCGACTAGAGAAGTTGCCCACCCATGCTACAGATCCTCGAGTTTTCAGATGTTGTGCATCCACAAAATCCTATCTTTTCATAGATATGTCTCAGTCTAACCTTTTTGTGCAACACGGATTGCGTCGCGTAAATGCAATGTTGAACAAATCTGTACGTGTTCGTGAGATTCATTGTAAAAACAAATAGGTGAGCGAACACGTACTACTTCTTTTATCAATACCTTTCCATCTAAAATCTGTACGCTTCAGACTTCACTTGAGGTTTTGTTTGCTTTCCCTATTCTATAATCAGTTACTTTTATTTTTTTTTTTATCTATTATTTCATCGTCTATTGGAGTTGGAATAAACTTATACATATCATTTCAGCGACACATACCCGATCTTCATCCCCTCACACCGGGACATGAACGTGCCATAAACCAACTGACTATATTGTACATATAGTCGTTGTGTCATTTTGTCTTGTGTATTTCACTAAAAATTTTGTTTGTATATCCTATTTCACATCTGTTGTCCTATTATAACGCAACAGTCCTAAACTGCTGTTATAATTGTTAGTAGGGATGCATGTCGCACATCTGTGTCTTAGGCCAGTAAGGTCTTGAACATGTATTCCGTCTCGTCTGTTTTACTGTTTAAATATTATGCAGATACTGTTATATAGGGTGACCATATTTTCAAGCACTAAAAGGAGGACACGTCGCATGGTAGGACTATATTTCACATGTGCCTGAGATATACACATTATATATGCTAAGTTCTCTAGAATTAAACATAGAAATGACAATAGACGAAGTGGCGAAGCAATAATGCATTCTTGTCGTGTCAACGAGCAACTGTAGCCGCAAGGTATGCACTCCGCTACGCTATCAGTCTGATCTTTTCCAAATCTAAAGCATGGATACTTTTTCTTCAGCACCTGGTTAAAAAAGTTATTTTTCGGCATAACTCACTGGGTCTACATAACATAAAATTTTTAACAAAAAAGGAGGATGGTCACCCTACTGTTATTTTATTTGAGTCAAATAAACATACATACATACGTGTTACATATGACCTGAATTCCCAGCATTTTGTAATCGGTATTTTGGCTGCACTACATGCAAGTGTACTTTATGCCGTGCTAGGGTTTAGTCACAAGCACTAAAGATTAAGCAACAATTTTGCTCCTTCCGTTTTGTTTTGTATTTATTCTTATTATTGGCCAATGTGGCTCATCAAAATTTTATCAGGGATTTTGTCTTTCCAGATATGGCAACCCTACCTTAGATAAAGTTTTAGAAATAATTAATGTACTGAATTATCAATAGCAATGCCCAAGGAAATGATAGTGGATAATAGTACAAACAACAAGATCATCTTGCTCGATTTTATCAGACCTCACTAATGCGTTCTAACCACCCAATCTTACCTGATTTTCTTCTTCTAGGGTCGTGGCATGTTCATGCCGTAGATGAAATCATTGTCTCTTAAATTTTCGATCCATTGCCCTTTCTCTGAGCCCACTAGTATTAATAACACCTATTGCCCTGCACATTCAATATAGCATCCTTATTCTTGGCCTACCTCTGGCTCTCCTACCTTCAGTTTCATTCTCCAGGATGTGCCATTCGATGCTATCGTTTTCGCGAAATAGGTGTTCAACAAATCGGCACTGCCTTTCTTTGATGGTCCGCATCAGCAATCGACCGACCTGCACTCTACTTAGGACTTCAGCATTTGATTTCTCTGTCCACGAAATTCGAAGCATTCGTCGATAGTATAAGTTTCTTTCGACTCCATAAACAGCATAACAATGAAATAATTGAAAGATTTCAAACACGCTCGCACGCACCGCATCTTAGCTGGCTCTTATCGTTCTCTCATCGCTTTGTTTTGTCCAAGACCTGATAAATTACGGTATTAGAGGGAAACCACCTAATCTCTCTCTCTCTAAGAATTGATCATAAATCGACTTCGTTTGCATACTTTCCTTTTGAAATAAAATTCTCCGTTCATTGCCTGAATAGGTTATTTGCGGTTGCAGGGTGTATTCACTTTCTTGTGCGTGAATTGTTTGATCACTATGGAACTTGAAATCTACCAATCTAAATAGTTCGCAGGTAGGCCGTCTAACCTGTAGACGGGCAATTTCGCCAGACTGTGAGATAACCTTCGCTATGGTATTATAGATGCAAAAATCCATTTGTAAATTCCTAATGCCCAAAATACGAAAATGGAACGACAGTTACGTTGGCTTTATAAAAGTAAATCGAAATGACAGAGAATGTGTTCAATGCTTGTATGTAATTAGCAATAAATCATTACGTTCACGTAAACTCCAAAACCACCATTGCAAAAAAAATCCCCGGGTGGAAGGTCCGGTTTTGTCAGAGGAAGAACCTGCTCTTGAATGCAGCTATGAAGTGGCATATCAGATTCTTACCCACAAATTCTAGAAACTGTCTTGATAATGACAGTGACATTCGTCTGGCTATATTAAACCGTTGTCCAATATAAGAAACCTCGTCAGACAGTCCCAAGCGCAAGATTCCCATGATTGTATACTAAAAAGCTTTTACTTTCTTGTCTGTGGTTTGCCTTTGCATTCCATAAAAGATCGTAAAAACATAATACAATCCAACACGTTTAGTTTTTTGAAATGACGAACGGGGGGGCCACGAGTGCAAAAAGGCGCCGGAAGGGGGCCACGCACGACCCATAAATGGTTGACAACCACTGGCTTATAATGAACTTCTCAAGCGGAAGATTAACGATATATTTCAACATACTAGATTCTAAATATATTTCACGTACATACTTATACATCAACTAGAACGAGATGATATCCGACAATCACGAATAGAAAAATAATTTTGAAAAAAGCAAAAGTGTCGTGAGAAGTGAACAATGATTTTTTGGCAGAAAATGTGACAAGGGCCATGGAGGCATCGTGAAATGAGAATATTTGGCGAAACTTGATTGTTCTTAACTTCTGTTATTCTCTTCCGTTGTCTACCTTATGCATTTTGCTCCATGGGAGCTACTATTATGTGGAGGGACATGAATGTTTCGGGTTCGGCATTTGCTGCCCAACTTATTTCACCTTGGGTGAGAGCGATTGGGGTTGAACGCAAGATGCGTAATCTGCGATGCTTTAATTAGGCACCAGGGTAAGGGGTGAGCAAACTGCGGCCCACAAGTGAAAATTAGGCGGTCCGCGAAACCAACTCTTCATTCAGTTTAATTTGGAAGATGCGAGTTCCCTTTGCGTTGCAACGTCTGTTTCGAATGAATTTATATGGCCCAGGAACGACAATAAAGCCCCAGAGAACTCAAGCCTGTCTGTCTTGATAAGATTGGAAGGCTCGCCTGAAAACTGAAACCGCAAAATTGACGTCATCTACTGTGATGCACATTGGGGGTTTGATGCGTAATACGTTGCCATAGTAACCGCCTCTCCCAACTAAAACCCCTAAATCCTTGATTTCATCGAATATTTTGACAAAATCTGGACCCAATAGTGGATCTCGAGTAGCTTTATTGGCCACGAGTTCAATTCCCATCATTAGTCCTTTCCCTCTGACGTCACCAACTACGTCATATTGATCTCGAACTTTTCCGAGCTCTTCTAGGAAATAAGTTCCAACATCCGCGCATCTTTGTTGCGTTTTTTCTTCTTCCATTACATCCAATACACTGCTGCCGACAGCACACGCGACAGGATTCCCGCTAAAAGTGTTGAAATGTAAAACTCCTTTCAATGCTTGCGCTATTGCGGGAGTTGTAACAAGGGCAGCCATTGGAAACCCGTTTCCGATTCCTAAAAATAAATTCTTTCATAATGAAATTCAAAAGCAAATAATATGCACAATACGGATTATTAGAATGGGATCCACGGGCACCTATGAGCGGCATTCGCCATAATGAGTCCACAGAAGAAACTAATCAAGACAAATTCTGGATGAATTGAAAAAAAAATTATTAGGGGGGTTGGGGACTTTCCTTACGCTAAGCTGTTTAGGAATTTACAATAGGGTCCTAGTTTCACGAGAAAACATATGTGCCTCAAGGTAGATTAGCGGAGCTTTATGCCTCAGCGATGAAGACCGTTAACCGTTAATAAATTTCGGCGCTCACGTAGTATGTGAACCAAAATGGCGGGCACCGGAATGTAGTTTGTGTACCATGTTGGGACATAATTTTATTCCAATTTTTCTTATTTTAGTTCTATTAATAGTTCGGGTACTAGCCAAGTGACTTCCGTAGTATTTGTATCTGAAATTATGACTTAACTTGGTACACATACTATGTTCCGGTGTCTGTCATCTTGGTTCAAATACTACATGAGTACCTAAATTCCTAGTAAGCCATAAAACCGTATGGAACCGGAAATTACCTTTTGCCATTGTTACAATATCCGGTATTACGTCATGAGTTTGAAACCCCCACATATGCGATCCCATCCGTCCGAAACCTGTTTGAACTTCGTCCGAAATGCACAAACCTCCCCTTGATCTGACAAGTTCGAAGGCTCGTTTCAAATACCCCTGCAGATAGAATTGAAATTATGGTCATAAATATAAGTTCGACAGTTGTATATCGTGCAAGCGTCAGGCACATGCTTGCAATAATCGCGCGTTTATTACTCTTCGTTAGTTTGCATGGGAGGTAATTATGTGCGAGAGGATTGCTGGACTCGGTGGGGTGGTTCGCGTAACCGCTTGTCTGTTATGACTTTCCATGCATCTAAAATAACTGGTTATAACTAATCCCATACCCAGCTTGGACTGGTAATCTAATAGGAAGCCGCGTTGCGCCATATGATTGAGTCGTCCTATTGACTTTCCTATCCCCCGGGATAAATATACAAAAATCTTAGCCTATCCAAATTTATTAATAATTTACAAATAATTCTAAGCTCGAACCAGACAAGAGACTGTTGTTCGCCATATGTTAAGCTATATTAAGCCGTCTGACCACCTCTAAAGATAAACACGAAAACCTATCGAATTGAAAGCTCGGCATCAACATTTCATTTGGGTTCATTCATCATATAATATCAGGCCTAACTATTCCTATCACCTACACCTACATAAACTGCCGACTGGACAGGAGGCCTTGGTTTGCCCTATGACATCCCATCTTACTGCCTTTCCTCTTCCGCGATAAATATGAACAGACTGAATATTCGGATTCAACCTTTCATTTGGATTTGTCCATCATATACTGTTAGCTGTTTATTCCTTACCTTTGGAAACTGAACGGAACCGCCAACTCCTTGAATCGATTCAGCAAAAAATGCAGCAATCTTCGGAGGTACCGAATAGTTCAAGACTTCTTCCAGCTGCCCTATGTATTCATCCTCTGCCATACAGTGTCCTTCCGCGCAGCTGCAAGTTCGATCCACCTGAACCGGGGAATCCCGGCAATGCGACCCTCCCCAGACCCCACGATATGGATCGGGGTTCATTGCATGGTGGATTCCGAATCTGTGAAAAAGGAAATTATTTTTTGATCCTTTTGCTAAATAATTTTTCACGTAACATACAACGTAGTTCCAGAAGTATGTGTAACCTGGTAAACATACTATGTTCAGGTTGTGCGCCATCTTGGTGCCCATACTTCGGGAGCGCCCATACAACACATATACTTGAATATGGGAAACCCAAGAAGACCCACTTTGTATACCTGCAGTTGCTGGCTTCTCCAAAGGTCAAAAAGTTACCAATAAGGTGGCTCCCGAATTATATGCACCGAGATGGCGCTCAACCTGAACATAGTAAGTGTACCAGGTTAGGGTTCAGGTTGTGCGTCATCTTAGTGCACATACTCCGGGAGCGCTATAATAATATTAAAGAACTAAAGAATATTAGTAGTACTGCATCGAATGCGAAATCCCTTCCAAAGAACGACAAAATTCGAATTCCTCCATAGCTGGGAAATATGGTTCTAAGCACTCAAGCTTGCATCACCTGCCCAGTTTCACGCCGCTATCTAGTCTGGCGATAGCGCCGTTAGTCATGTTAATGCCGTTGTTCACATATTTTGGTTCGAACCCTGGTCCACAACCCCAACAAACAGATTCGGAATAATTCAACATTCGATAAAACTATGACATCTCTTTCAGTATAAGTGAATGCTTGCTCGGCGTCTTGTTAGGGTACTCCCGTAGTGTGTGTACCAGGTTAGGCCATAATTTTATTCCGATTTTCTTTATTTTAATTCTATTACGAGTTCGGGGACTGCCTGTGTTAGCCAAGTGAATATACCCCATGCCCATAGGTTTCAGTCCCTTTACACAACTTGCTGTAAAGTGGGCGAACAAAATTAGTTACCTCCATATTGGTACACATACTTCTGGAGCCCCCTTGTTTGGTCTTGAGCGAGACAATCAAACACATACAATATTATTTTTCTACTAATACAAACCCATTAGCGTATGAATGCTTCCATGTTCCGTGGGCAGTCAGTCCAATCGTATAAGGCCCGGCACCGTGATACGCGTTCCTCAATGATATCGCATCAAACGCTCCTGTGTGAATCCTCGCCAACATCAAAGCCATGTCGTTCGCTTCTGAGCCACTGTTGGCAAGAATACAGACCTGTCAAAAAGTGATGGTTGGAGTACAATTCCGGATACATCTATCCGAAATACAGTGAGTTTTACAAACATTATATGAAAGAAATGTACGACCATGGCTTGAATTTTTCGCTTTCCAAAGTAATTTCCATGGGGCGTTCATACACCTTCAACCCGAAAACGGCTGTGCACAAGCTGCAACCGATAGTAAAAAGCGACTATTTTTGGGAGGCAACATTGCTCGCACAAACTACTACACCCTCAATATGAGCTTGGGATTTGAACCGCCAGATGTTTTTATCATCGACTCCAACACACTCAGTTCCAACACCATCGGGTAACTAATTTTGTTCGCCTACTTTACATCAAGTTGTGTAAAGGGACTGAAACCTTTAGGCATGGTGTATATTTACTTGGCTAACACAGACAGCAACGGAACTAAAATAAAGTAAATCTGAATAAAATGATGGCCTAATCCTAACCTGGCACACACTAATGAGTACCCCGCTTTGCTTGTAATAATCATTCTGCATTCATTTCATACATACGCATGAGGACGGTAACCATAGCCTTGGTCATTGCAAAGAAGGTCTAGCCATCATATCGACTTTCGCATCTTGCGGAAAGATCAAAGGCAAATATTTCCTTACTTTCATGGACGGTCATTTTCGACTACCTGGTGATTTCAGAATTGAATCGAATATTTATTCGAGTTGAATCTCGAATGCTTAAAAGATATTTAAATTTAATAATTAAACGACGTCATTCTATGTGACTTTTTATTGTAATGTGCCCGCCAGACACACAAATTACTCAAAACATAGAATCCATCACCCAGCCAGTTCGCTGAATTTTCACATACAATGAGAAACATGATTTATCAATACCTCACTATGATGTAAGAATTGATTTTCAAAAACCTGGCTTCATAAAAATCGGGGGATTCACCTTGAAACAAGATGGCGGCGATTCGGAGTTTTTGTTTGAACCTATTCGAATAATTCACTATTCCATCTCCCAGACCTCACCTTCAAATCTCCAGGCATAGTTGCAACCAATTTCTCAGTGAATTCATATATTGGCGGAGTCATATAGATGGCGGTAGTGTGCCATAACTTTCCCATTTGTTTTTGTGCGGCCTCGTTCACCTTGGGATGGCAATGACCTACGCTGACCGTAACAATCCCAGCAAATAGATCGAGATATCGTTTGCCAGTCTGATCCCAAATCCATTGCATTCGGCCCTGAAACAAAGGTTGGGAGGTATTTTAAGGGCTTGTTTGATCGCTATAATGGGTTTGCTGAACTAGAGATTTCGCAGATATTTAACTCAATAGAAAATCAAATTAAAAAAAGCAAGCGTGTTACAACTATAGGTTTATTTCGATTCCGTAATCGCAAAACTGACGATAAAATGATTGATAAAAACGAAAGAAAAGACGATTACAAAATCAGGAGAGAAAACAAAAGTAAGGTTCGAAACGTACAAAGCTTTAGCTAATGCGGGGCCTATCGTAGACAGAGATACTGAATGAAATTTAGGATTTTGTGATAGAAAATATATTCGACTTTACATTTTAACTAAGTCGCAAATCCCGATTAAAATTACTTTTATTAAAGCCTTGTGCGTGGCGAAAAGTCAGTCCGTCTATATATCGCCAGTGTCGTATTGTTATAATTTATATCGGTTAACTACAATAATCTGACGCGGCGCCTATGGAAGTGAGTGCCCATAGCTTAAGGTGGCCTGATGTCGTTCTGTAAATACTGACGGCATAATATACCTGTGTGGCGAGCAATGGTCTGCTGTAATATGGAGACAGTGACGGCGATAGCTTCTCTTCGTGCAATGTACGTGTTTGGTCATAATGCTTCCCACTGTTGAACAAAAAATTGTCAATTATTTCGCAGCAAAACATCCGTAAACGATATGGTTTATATTCAGAGAAATTTCTATATAGTAAATATACTGCGTGTATATATATATACTTTGTGAGCCATAATTAAACGAGGGGATATGTTAAATAAAGGGGATAAAGCAATTGCGCCGTTGCATGCGTTTGTTTTTTTCTCGTATTGTCTCAAATAGTCACTGCGGCCTCAGGCAATTAGCAAAAACACGTTTTGCATCAAATCAATGTAAATTGTACGGTCGATGACAATGAGTGTAAAACACAAATAAGCTGTAATACTATCATTTTGATAATACCTGATATATCAACTAGCCGCTGTATGACCGAATTGGTTTACGTCACATTTTTAAAGTTTTAACAAAATCGCATTTAATTGTACACGCAAACCTAAAATCAAACCTAAGATAGGTACCGACAGATTTGAAACCCAGGCCCTCTGGTCATTGTTACTTATCGATCTTGTTGCTTATCGATTTTGATCGGTAAGTATGGTGATAGGTATTTGTTTGTTTGTTTGTCTGTCTGTTAGATACACGCGATATCTCACGAAAGCGAGGTTGAATCTGCTCCAAATTTTGCATGTGCATTCATCATATCTCGGACCAGTAGCCCATGAATTTTTGATTAATTATGTCGTATAATTAGCGAGTTATTAATTGATTAGTGATGAAGAGATCTACGAGAGACGCGTATGACCTGGATTTTTTAGGCGAGAGCGCGCATGTGCTGAGTGTGTGTGTGCGATACGCAAGTTTCCCTTCGAGAAAGTTTCCACGCCATTGAGTCAGAGTGAAGGATACATGCCGCAAGATCGATAAGTCAGCGATCTCTAATCGCTAACTCGTTGTTAATTAATTAACCCATTCCTTAAATGCGCTTTTTTGTTTTTATTGCGTCGATGTGGCAATAGCACATTAGGTGATGTTCGACACCGTCATACAGACACCTATTTGAATCCTATTGGCGATCGCTCATTACTCTGCGTGGGTTCGAATCCTGCGATGCAAAATTATGTTGAGCAGGGGTGTCAAACTCGCGGCCCGCGGGCATCATGCGGCCCCAGAGAACTTCCAATAAGGCCCTCGAACGCTTAACAATGATTGTAATATTTTTTTTTATCTAAATATATATATATATTACATTTTTCAAAGTGAAATTGATTATTTCCACAGGAAACGACAATTTAGTGGAAGTAGTTTTTAAAAATAATTTTTTTTCTGTTTTCATTTTGACCCAATTACGTATACACACAAAGCTTACAAAAGAATACTTGAAAAAATACTCCAGGGATCAAATAAAACGCAGTGAACATGAAGAAGGTGACATTTTTGAAGAAAAAGGGGAATGGCAATATTTCTTCATTTTTCAAATTTCTAAAGCACATTGTTTGATTTGTCATATTTCCATCAATACGACGAAAGAATACAATACAAGTAGACATTATCAGAATAAGATCGTAATGTACGTAATCCTACGTAATGGTAGGAAATGTCGCGAAATGTGGCGGGAAATGTCTGGTCTGGAAAGTCAGTCATTTGCTTGTTTACTGATCTATACATTAAAAATGATAAACGTAATATTTTTGCTTTACTGAAATTAATCAAATATTCTCAACGATCCAGAGTAACCGATGATCAAGTGACCTCGTTAATTAGAGTTGCAACTGTAAAATCTGATAATAGTAAGCTGGTGACACAAAACAGATGCCAAACGTCAGGACATATGTAATAAAAAAAAAACACTGAGTTTATTCTTCAGTATTTTTGTAAATTTTAAGTCTATATATTTAGATTAAGTCATTTTTAGTGTAGGTATTATTCTTTCTTTATCAAAACTTTGTTGTTCAAAAATGATTTGGATAGTTGTACATAAAAAATACTGAATTTATGTAAGAAATACAGTAAATTGAAATAACAGTGAAATGAAAAATTTAATATGTAAATGGCATTTAAAATTCAAGAAAATAACAAAACTTTATTCGGCTGTTCAATTGCATCACAATATATGTCACAAAGTACACCTGTCTAAAAATATACTTCCAAGTATACATTATTAAAAATTTACCAGAAAATGTTTGCGGCCCTTTGAACAATTCTAAAAATGCAATGTTGCCCAAGAGAACCCATGAGTTTGACACCCCTGATGCAAAGGATTTCTGTTTCTTTTTGCAGTCAATGTGGTACGCGTGAACGATGGTCGATTACGACGCTCTCCGTCATAAAAGTCCGCGCACGCGGAACAATCATCAGATAAGCCAGGGTTTCCCAAACTGAGGTCCGCGGACCCCCGGGGGTTCGTGACAACTGCACAGGGGGTCCGCAACGACATGAAAAAGTCTGATCGATATTTGATGATTGCTTTCAATTAAAGAGAAATTGCATATTGGTTAGGCGTTGCGGACGAATATCCATTGTACTCAGAAAAGGCAATTAAAATCCTTTTGCAACGACCTACATTTGTAAGGCAGCAATTTCATTTCTATAAATATGATGACAAAATACAGGTCGACCCTTGCCGTCCGATCCATAAATTTGCTTGTCACGAATTGCTCCGAGAATCGAAAATTTGTGCAGTGAAAAGCAGCCTAATTCATCACATTAATATCGTTTGTGTTGTAAATGAAACATTATCTTTACTCGTTGGTTAGGCACTGAAATTAATACGGCAGAGCGTGAAGGTTCGTCAAAATTAGAATTCTCAAATAAGGGTCAGCGGCCCAAAATATTCGGAAAACTCTGAGATGAGCATTCACAATTCGACCTGGGCTGTAAGCCGGGTTAGAGGTTAGGATTTGCCGCGAGAAATGGCCATGTTCCTATTCTATTATAGAAAGCACAATCCGCGACGGTTATAAATTAATTTTTATGAAGCGTCTCACATTTTCTGAAATGCCTGTTAGACAATAGTGATGGCTAATATTCAACAAATCAACCAAACTAGTCGAAGTACTCACTCGTATCCTTCGAATTCAAACTCACATTCTGGCATCCGGGGTCGGTCTGATGACGTCACGTAACCACGCGATCTATTTCCATGAATAAATCTTGTAGTCAAGTTACAGGACTTGAATGTTTGCCGTAATAACGCCATGTTACCAAGATAAATAATGAAACTGGGAAAATAAATACAGATTTATTGCAGCGGTGCGTGCAATACTAGTATATGCAATCCACCAAGCTTTTATTTCATCATAGAGAGATTTAATAACCTCGATCGGCGTGTTCATTGAAGAGTTTACCCTCCCATTAGCTGCCTTACCCTTTGACATTCAACCTAGCCTTGATTGCATTTGTGATTTTTGAAAAGGCACCCTTGCATTAACTTTGTCTATCAGACCATTATCTGATACGAATGGAATTTATTCTACCCGTGTCGACAATGCATAGCTGCTTAAGAGTAACTTTGTCTACTTAAGCTTATTGTTTATGGCCTAACCCTAACCTGGTACACATACTACATTCCGGTGTCCGCCATCTTGGTACGCATACTTCAGGAGTACCCCTTTGTTTACAGTTTTAAACTATTACCACGACTTCGCCTCAGTCATGGTCTTAGGCAAACAATACTCTCAACTATTCATTCGCGAGGTGTGGCTTATTCGTTCACCATGCTCGCAATGCGAATTAACAAATCTCTACGCCGACGGGCATAAGTCATAAGTACGCAATCCGAGTCAATACATCAGGTCTTATAAAACTGCTTAACGGCTTGTTTGAACTTTGAACTATCGTCTTTTTAGATTAGATTTTAAGCTTCGACAATTTTCCTTGCTATATGTGTATACGTTCTATGCTTCTTCATATCATGCCCTGATGAAGTTTTCTGTTTAGAAAATCGAAACATCGACAAATCGTTTTCTAACACCGGTTGCGCTTTATATTTATCCACCTCGACTGCTTTGCCGTTGCCAAACAAACCTATAAAACGCCACGGTCGCATGAACAAATTCTACAAAGCATCAATAACTTATACGCGAGATCACTAAACCATGCGAAATGTTTGCCTTTGTCTATGTTCATTGTGTACATATCGGTTGTGAGATTCAATGTATCGAACTCACTAACAACGGGCTCTCTCATTTCAGAAAATGTATGTACTGATATGTTACTAATTAGCCTTAACATGACGCAAATATAGCGGTGCACGTATCTCATCTGCTGAGGTCGCCAAACGAAAAAAACAAGACCGGGTTCGCAGGTATTCCCAGAAAGCCACCATTGTATATAGCAGGGATGGCGAACCACTGACCCGCGGGTCACAAAGAGACCCGCCGCGTTTTATTCGTGTCCCGCCAAGGCACTTATAAAATAAAAAAAAAGTAACATATCAGCGATAAAAAATTGATAAAACCGGCCTTAAAGTAATCTAACAATAACTAAACCATTAACATGTACCGTCACCGTCAGTTGGGCAGTCAGGGCTGCGACAGCTCATATTCAAATTGCTAATTTCCGGGCTGGAAAGGTAATTTTCAAAACCCCTAATATAGGACGCATGTCTGCATGGCTGTGTACCGTTATACAGCATGTCATACCAATGCAATTGATCTGTTCATTTCTCGCAACATCTTGTCTCTTTCGGAAGTGCATCCGCAGACTGTTTTAGGGGTTATACGAGAATTAGATGTACTTTGCATTTTATTAGTTTCTCGCCTATACAATGCCGTTTAGAAAAAAAAATCTTTCAGACTTGAAATTAAAACTTAGAAATCTAAAATAACAATGGACCAACAATGTAAAAGTGCCCGAATGCGGTTGAAAAATATAACGCTATCAGAGTGTAATTCCTACCAAACTTTTTGGAACCGTACAATGATTTGCCGTATCATCATCCTAAACGTTTTTGGTAATGCATATGCGTGTTCCCGTACTCTCATTTCATAAAATTGAGTGTCATACATATTCCTGATAGAAGTGTTGCATAAGTACCGTAAAGTCCAAAACTACACCAACAGAAGCTTAAAAAAATTGTTTCAGAAGTTTCTTATAGATACCAACATTGATTAAATATTTGTGACTCACTGTTTCCTGTTCCGCGATAAAACTATATTTTTTGATCCATTCATTAAAAAAGGTTCGCCATCCCTGGTATATAGCGTAGTAAATATGATGGTAAACAACAGTAAACCATAAGAGACGTTTACTTTGTTTTTTTAAAGACGTTTACGACCAGCGGGGATCGGTTGTTATTTCCCCGATTAATTAACTAATTACCTCTGCAATTGTTAAGTTGATATCAGTATAATCGTTTCAATCAAATCGTCCTCATTACCGAAACTATCATGGATGCTCAATAGCGCGTATCAACAAATGATTGTACTCTATTGACATATGAGGGGTGTGGGGCCTCTGTAAAGATTTATGATTTTAAGTTATATACCAATGGACTATTATATGGAAAAATGGACTATTATGGAACAACTACTCTGCTGTGCTGATAATGTATTTGTTTTGTCACTTGTATACACTTGTTTATTGATATTCATATATTATTTTATTTATTCTTCAATTATTGATTAATCCACATTGTGGAAACATTAAAAAAAAAAAAAAAAAAATATATACCAGGGTGGTCCAAGGTTGTCGGCTTCGCGGGCCACAAAATTATGTTTGCATTGTTCGCGGGCCACAATATTGCCAAGAATAGGTAAACAGTGCAATACAAAACAAACACTTTTATTATGCAAACACATAGTTATCAGACATATCCATCCCAGGCTAATAGAATCAGCATTCGATTTTTCGTTTTCTATGATGCCTATATTGTTAGCATATATTCCCGACCAAAAAGATAGAAAGCCAGATAATAATTTAGACTGCCAAGCACATCATTCAACTTCGCTAGTTGCCTCAGCTAGCCATAAGACTAGTCAATTTAGTGACATTATTGATGTAATAATATGTCAAAAGATTTACTGATTAATTTTATTACGAAACAACACGAAATGCGATTTTTTGATTACTCTCCGAATGTGACGCGGGCCACAGATAATAAAGCGGCGGGCCACATGTGGCCCGCGGGCTTGAACCACCCTGTTATATACCTTCCCTGCAGAAATTACGGCGCTCCGGGAGTGTGTGTACCAATAACGAGGTAATTTTGTTCGCCTTCTTTACATGAAATTGGGTAAAGGAACTGAAACCTATGGTATATTCAATTGGCTGACACAGACAGTCCCCGAATTCGTAATAGAACTAAAATAAGAAAAATCGAAATAAAATTATGGTCTAATTCTGACCTGGTACACATACTACGGAAGTATCGAATTACCACTTATACACTTAATTACACACTGTGTTCAAAACGTCAAGAGATTTATGAACGTTCATGTTGAAGTTACAGCCATGGGAAGCTATCAATGAAGCTTATTTCAAGCCGAGAAAAAAAATCTTTCAAACCTCACAACCAGTGGTGGGATTCAAAAAACGGGTTCTTTTTTGTATCGTACTCACTAACAACAGGTTCCCTCGTTTCAGAAAATGGACGTATGTCACTGCGCAAGGTTAATACAATGCATAACATATACGAACAACCAGAACGAGTTCACTGATAATCACGACATTCAGGGACAGGTTCGCGCGAACCCGTACCAATTTTGAATTTCACCACTAGTTATAACACTTGCGAAAGCTAAGCGCGCACATAATTCCAGTCTGCACGCAGCGCAAAAATTCTTATTAAGCAAGCACAACGCTGCGACTATAACTTGGAAAAGCTGCTTTGACTAACGTGTTATGCTTACGCTACAAATATGGCCTGAGAACCAAGCAGACGGATAGGCTATGATAGTTATCTACCGTCAATAGCGGTTATGGCGCTGATTACCCGATGTTTCGCAATCAATACAGGCAGCTCAGACACAAAGCTTCAGATCGTTGAGCATCGAGTTAGGCACGCATCCGCCTTTCCGGAAGTAATTAGTTTACGTCACGCTGTAGATCTATATTTTAGCGTAAACGTCGCTTGCACAAGTAAACCATTAGTCTTGGCAGCTGAAAGTCGAACTTGTTCAAATTAAGCTTAAAGGCCGATTGGAATATATCTCCTAAGAGTATTGCTGCACACTAATAGAAATATAGTTGGAACTCATTCGAACTATTTGATTCTGCTTTCCTGCCTGGTGTTTGTTGTTATTATTTTTATACCATGACCGAACTCAAAATATCCATCTATTATCGATTCTAACCTTCCATAATGAATGGTCTTGCACAAAGCAAACATCCTTTCATTTGTAACATGGGCGCCATAAGCGTCGACGTATATTTTTGGAAGATCTATTTTGCGGCATTTGCAGTGAGACGTTATTTTGCTCTGTTTGTGAGCGATTTACTGATTACACGACATTTTTTTTTGCTTACAATCTTTCTTTCAAACAAAGCAACCGAGATAGAGGAAACCGTAGCTTGGACAACTTCGACAGCGGAGTAAGTCTATGAAAAGCTTCTTTAATATATCAATAGAGATCAGTGACAGCTTTTACCTGTCCTTGTTAGGAGCGATTCATCGTCATATTGCAAAAATGCAACTCAAGTTTGATCACTGGATCGTGGTTGGACCGTGCAATCGCTGAAGGGAATGATGCTGTCATGCGCAGAAGTCATCTCGCGCCTGTACTGAATTGATTCTGAATACTATCGCAAATCATATTTGTCAGAGTAAACATTTATTCACTTACTGAATTAAACATTTCGGATTGGCATACAAAATAAACAAAGAGCACGGTCGGGTTGACAGGTACCATATCCAATGCTCTCACGATTCGCGAGTAACAGCCAGGCACAGATGGTAGCCAGGCTATAAGTCCACCAATGTTGAACGATAAACCAATATTTCATAACCGCCCTGAAATACCATTTTCATATTTTTTCTGTATACATTCCGTACAAAGTGTATTATCGGTATGGCGAAAAAAATAAACTGCTGATTAACTGGCTTAATGCAGTAATCTCATAGCTGCGATTCATAACTGTTTTATTGGAAAGTATTGTTCACCAATCATCACCAATTTTTCAACCTTCAGTAGGTTTCAGTAAAATTTGCATTTTCAAAATGGAGAAAAAATGTTGTCACAGAATCTGAGAATTCATGATGCCACGAGACGTGATTGGCCTTATTTTTTTTTTTACATTCAGGGTACTTTTGTGTCCACCGCCAGAACAACGAGGCTTAAGTGTCAGCAATCAAATCTATGCTTCCGAAAAAAAATGGCTGACTAATCCCATACCCGAGATGAACTGGTAACCGAACAAGAGGCCGTAGTTCGCTATATTATTAAGCCGTTTAATCGACTTTCCCCTCCTCCGGGAAAAATATGTAAATCCTATCCTATTTACACGTTGACAGTAACTGTTTCTTGACCCTCGACTTCCAAACGTTCAACAAAGGTTCTATATCCAATTAAATTTACGAGGCCAGGAATTCAGTTCTTAGAACACTGTTATCATTAGTGAGTATGAGCTTTGGCAGCAGAGCCACCAACAGAACCCACGGTCGTATGAGTGAACAACGCAGCATATGTGAAATATTTCAGTGGTTCTTTTATTCCAGTGTGTCATCCATTGGTTCTCCGTCGGGGATGGACCGCGTCTCTTTATCAACGAGGGCTGTAAATTTACTGGCAACAAATGACTTGGTTAAAATAGGTAGATATATGCATGAAAAATATTTAATTTTGTGCTCATACTTGATATCAGTGATCGATGTGTTAGCGGAAAAACTGGCAACGGTAGTTGCAATGCGTGCATAGGCAACGTCGGCAATCATGGCGTATTGCAGCCTGACTCGATAGTTGGGGACGTACCGGTGACTTATGTAGGGTAGGATAGGATATACATATTTATCCCGGGGGAGAGGAAAGCCGATAAGACGGCTTATCCATATGGCGAACCACGGCCTCTCGTCGGTTTACCATTCCAAGTCGGGTATGGGATTAGATTTACTGTATTGTTTGTTTGTTTTTAAAGCATGGACTTGGTGGTGGAGAAAGCCGTAACCGACCAGCGGTTACGTAAACCACCCAACGACGGCGAGGAGTCTAGCAATCCTCTCGCACATAACCATCTCTGCATGGGATGCGAACCCACGCAGAGTAGTTAGAGGTGCGGTGGCGAGCGTATTCCTAACGCTTAGCCCGTTGAGCCACACCGCCGCGCCGATGTACCTGTATGCTGGACCTACGTTATTATGCTAATTGCTAGAACGTCGTATTAGATCATATTAATTTTGTTGCTTAGAATGCTAAAAATGAGAAGTTAAATTCATTTCAAATACGTGGTAAGCTGTTGAAATAAGTTACAAATCCATGTTAATCCATCCATTTTAAATTTTATTAATGCCCTATGGTTGTGTGTGTGTGTGTGTGTGCGCGAGTGTGAATGATTGGATTCAGTAGTTTTAGGTGAGTGAACACGTACCACTTCTTTTTGGCAATACCTTCCATCTTATATTCTGTACGTTTTAAACCTTATCCAAGGTTTTGTTTACTCTCCTGATTTTATAATCAGTTTTTATTTATTTGTTTTTACCAACCATTTTATCGCCTTTTTGCTGATTATGGAGTCGAAATAAACTTATCTTATCTATAGTGATTCAAGAGTCTTGCTGCACACTAACACAAATATATTTCTGTAACGTTTCGTCTGACCAAGGTCAGACTTCTTCGGACATACATAGTTCAACTATAACACGAAAAGCAGTTACATGCATATTTTGATCTTATCTATGTTGTCATTATTTTTCTATTCTGGCATCAAAATCTAATCATTTTTTTGTGGTTGGTTATGCCAGTTATCCAAATTTTTTTATTAGAATCTGATGGAAAATTCTTTTACCACGTTAATCTAGCACCTTATCCGGTGTTCTTCCCCTAAACTGTGTTGTTTTTTAAGAAATCCAAGGGATTCTGCAGTACGGAAACCCGGGTTTCATGTAGTTTCGTACCAAATGTACTTCTAGTGGGCGTAGCATAAGAATTTTTTGATATGTCTATCCTAACCCCCATCTGACTACGCCGTCCAAAAATTACAACACTACGACATCACAATCACGTCATACTGTCATTGAGCTCGCCAAACATGCGTAAGATCGCCCGAAATGGCATCGGCGCCGACGATAAAGAACTGACTAACATCGATTTCTTTCATATTGGGATCGTCACAATGGGAAAAGGGAAGAAATAGCTGTTCGATTTCGGGTGCTCGTTTGCGCGTCTTGGATGACAGTTCGTATAGTTTGAAGGGCTTTATTATGTCACTGTGACGTCGTGGTAACGTAATTTTTGGATGGTGTGGTCTGGTGGGGGTTAGAATTGACACATGAAAAAATTGGTATGCTGCGTTCACTAGAAGTATGTTAGGTTCGAAACTACATGAGACCCCCTACAACACCGTGTGACCGTAGTAAAATTGAGATTACGTATCGAATTTTTATCATACCTTGTACAGTAATGCAGTACCAGTAATATTGCAGCAAAGCATTCACACATAAGAGCATAATTTGTATGCACAAAAAATAAATGGATATAAATCTATATTCTGATATAATGGCTACATCAAAAACTGAAATAGATCATGATTCTCTGCTCCTAATGTGGTCATGGTAGTGTGGCAGTATGGAGAAGTCATGATTACGGCTATCTTAATTGAATATTTTAAGGCAGATATATCAATATATATTCTCTTATTTCAGTCAATATTAGAAATTCGGGTGTTGACCAATATTGATCCCTCATGACTTCCTTTCCCCAGTGTAATTAATAATATTTTCACAGAATTTATGTACAATTGAATTTTACTAGTTGAAAAAATGAACTATACTTGAGATGTCACACGCTAACAAATACTGAAAAGATAGTTTGATAAAATAATTTATTTTAACCCTGCTTTCATTATCACAATGCTGACTGAAGAATATCGCATTGTTTTTTTACTGTTTCAAATAATCTTAACTTGTTAGGACTATTCTGAATTTTATTGTGAAAAAATATACTTAATTCCTTGTATTTGGGTGACAATCTATCGCAGAATGAATTTTCAAAAGTCTTCACTTTCATGATTGAATCTGTAATGATATTATTTGGTCTGGGCGATTCATTACTGTAGCATGTTTGTTTTAGATATGTTACCCAAATATTGAGCTCAGTAATAATTTATTTTCCATTTTATCGATCCGTTTTTACCTTTGTTATTCAAATGTGTGTGCTGGTATCCCAAATTTGTTCTCCAGCAGCTTCTATACACGATATATATTTAGTCAGAGATAGCTATGTATCAGCCTGTACGTATTTTAAGTGTGTTGATAGATTATTCCATGGCGGCGTACATCATGCTTGACATTTCTGCGTTGGGAATACGCTTGTCATTATATCCCTGATATGAACGTTCAAATGTTAGCCTGGCTGTGTAGAGGAATTACTGAATATTGTTCTTTTTCATATTTATTGCTTGTTTTGCTCTGACCTTCAACTGCTGATTCTTATCTAGCCCAGTCTGCCAGTGGTTCCCAAACTATGGGTCGCAAAAGGAATCTTAGTGGGTCGTGAAAAGATGTAGAAAGCTTGGCTCAATTATACTGGTTATTAAGATCAGTGGCGACTCGATTACGTAAATCTTTAAAAAAACAAAAGAAAAGAAATTGAATTTGAATTTTAATCTGTGAAAGTTTCCTTTTTACAACCTTCTCAAAGGAACAAAAATTTGCTACACAAAGAATGACCATGTGGCTTTTTTACGCATAGCAGTTTTGTACTCTGTACAGCAAGCACTTCTTACCGTGTTTCCCTGAAATTTAGACTGGATTTAGATTTATTTTCTTTTGAAGAATAACACTATGGTTTATTATTATATTTCGGGCTCCGACTTCAGCTCCACATTCCTGGGAAATTTAGTGCGACTGGACTTTTAGAAAATCAATTAATTGATTTCTCCACTGTAGACCAAACAGCACAACACAGGAAAAATGTCTTTTATGATCTCAGTCTGATGAAAACATGTTATATAGAGAGATTTGCCACAAGTTTTTTAAAATATTAGATTCATTTAGGTTAAACTAGCTTCTCAGCTAAACTTATGCATTGTTTATTGTTACTAGAATACTGTATTTGCTATATAAACAAGGCCCTATACAATCAGCCACTTATATCTAACGATATGTAAGGAGATACTGTTATTTGTAAAACTGGAATTTTTGCGATTCGGCATCACCAACCCAACATATTACACCCTGAGTGAGGTGATCATGGGATATGACCCTACACCTTTAAGGCTATTGCATCGCTACCAAAATCAAATATGTGCAATAAACTGCCTATTGTACATATTGTCGTTGTGCCGTACCTCTTTGTCTTGTGTATTGTACTAGAGTTTTATTTGTATATTTCATGTCTGTTGTCCTACTATAACGTTCTAAACTGCTGTTATAATTGTTAGCAGGGGTGCATGTCCACATTTGTGTCTTAGGCCAGTAAGGTCTTGCACATGTACCTTTTATACCGTTTACCTATTATGCAGATACTGTTACATTTTTGAGGCAAATAAACATACATACATGTTCTCAAATTGTATATTTTTTGTTTCCCTTTCTAATGAATCACCTCATTTACCCACTTTTCAGATATATTTTGGTCTTGGGGGTAATTTTGGGGTTATTTAGTCATAATGGGTCTTCAGGACTTACAAGAATTTATAGAAACCAGCTGCCCAAAGGCTGCGATAAATGTTGATTTAGATAAAGTTGCCTGGAGAAAACGAGGCGGCGGTAAAAACCGAATGCCTACCGGGCAAATTGTTCCTCTCTTTGTGGTCCTGGACGCGGAAAGCTGTTTGCATCGTCTTTATGGGGGGTCTTTCACTGACTGGGTTTGCGGAGGGCAGTGGAATCAAGCGTATCAATTTGTGGCTGCTTTGAGCAACGCTGCTCGTCGTTTGAATATCGAACTTGTTGTTTTTTTCAACGGAAGTCTCGAGAAAGATCGAATGCAGTCGTGGAGTCAAGATCAGATGATTTGCAAAGGAAATGTTCGTAATATACTTGGACATATTCAAAGAAAGGGGGTTCCCCCTCCCAAAGCTTGGTTCACACCTCCTGTAGGTGTAGAGCAATGCTTACGACTTGCACTTCAGGACTGCGGAATTCGTGTTCAACAGACCATAAAGGACCATCACAGAGAAGTGATGTCATATTGCCGTGGCAACGTTTTCCACGGTATCATAGGTCATTCAGCTGACTATATCGTGTTTGATCCTCCGCGTTACTTTTCCTCGCACACTTTGAAATTATCGCGAGATGGTAGAGTCATTACAACCACCCAGTTTCTTCTTGACGAAGTTGCGAAACATTTGGAAATATCGCAATCTTCACTCCCCCTAGTGGCAACGTTGCTTGGAAATCATATTCTCACGGAAGAAGATGTTTCTACATTCCAGTGGCGATTACTTGAACCCGATCAAAGCGATTCTGAGTTTAAAATCAGTCGTGTACACCTTCCACCAGGTGGCACTATTATCCCAGTTATTGCGAAATATGTTCGCGAACTTGTCGATCCTGAAGATTTAGATGAAATTGCAAAGTTTGTATTTCGAAATGCTCGAGGTGATCCTGCTGAACTAAAACAACGACTCAAAGACTCGGTCACATATTTTCGTTCCGCAAGTCGAAATGGGGGGCGTGGCGTCATGCATCAGCGAGCACAGAAAAAGACTCAACAAGAGGAGGCTAAAACAGACGATGAAACAAAAGGTGACGAGGATTCTCAGGCTAAGGATGAAACTAACGTTAAAGAAGAGGAAAGTTCCGGTGACGACACTAGTCTGACATCCGAGGATGAAAACAAAGATTCCGATGCAGACTTGGTCGACGGAATAAAAAATCTGAAAATTGAAGAAAAGAAAAACGGAATCCCACCTTTGATGCAAACTACTATTCGTCATTCAGATATTGCGACACCTCCAATTCCGACAGTTGGTGCTGATGTCATGCGTATCGCTCACCATCGTCACATGATGGGTTTGCTGCACCCAAGTATCCTACAGATATTAACGCACGGAGAAATTCAGATCCCAATCTCTATAGAAGATGATCATCAATTGCCACCAGTACCTGGGATCTATCAACAACTTCGACAAAACATTTACGGAATTCTATTCTCCGTTGCTAACACGAATCAGAAACGTCGTATATTAATCAAAGAGTGGTGGGCTTCGAAAGGAAAACTACTTTTCACTCCTGAGATCGCCGAAGCCTTTTCATTCAATGATTGGCAAGTTCCACCTTTGCAACAATTATGGCTCGGCCGTGAACCAGAGGATAAGAATCGAAGAATGAGAGCGTTTCTTTCTTGCGTTCGATGCGATACTCCGAGTATGCTGAACCAGAATTTTGTTCCCCGACATGCACTGTTCATGTGCTGCATTTTGCGATATTTGATGCAGTTTCCCACTCCGTTGCTACGACGATATGAGGTCGATGCGTTCCTCGCTACAGCGGTTTCACCTATGCTGCACAACCCGTATCTTATTCAGGATGTTGAAACTCCGACACTGACGCAACGAGGACTGCTGCTTGCATCTCTATTCATGCGTGGAGTCGAAACCGCAATGATGGCAAACGACGCCTGTGGGGAACCTGTGCCAGCGATGGTCGCAGCTCCGTGGCATTATTTCGATGGAAAATTATTTCAGATCAAACTTGCAATTGCGACGAGAGATGGCTCGAATTTGGTTCAGTTATGTGAAGGGCGAGTCGATCAGGTTGCAAAAGTCGAGCGTATGCGCCAAGCGATAATGGAAGGGTGTAATTACAACGTTGCCAAGACCCCGTTCCCTCCTCCCCCGCCTGAAATGTCATCTGGATTTGCTTTCATGGGGGGATACTCCAACATGAATCCCCCGAAACCCCCCTCATACGGAGGAAATTTCAGTCCACAGTGGGATCATAATGCTAATCGACCACCCTCAATGATGTACCAGCATCCACCGACGTCATTTGCTCAACTAAAAGTCGCAGGATACACCGTCGGAAATTGGGCAGGAGGGGATTTTGGAGGTCACGGATATCAAACTAGAGGTCAAAAGGGCAAAGGTTACGGAGGGATGTGGTTCGGTGGAGGCGGAGATGCGTCCAACACAAAGAATTTCTATTAGCAGATTATTTGAACTCTCCTGACCTCTGCTGCCCGCAATCACATCTTAGTATGGGCCGTAGATAAACTTGCCTATATTTGGCCAATAATTTGCAAAGGATATCTGATTTTATATCATTTAATAAGAGTTTGGCCAATCTTGATATTTCTTGTTCATGATATTTTTAGGTTTGTGGTATGCTTCAGCTTTATCGGAGATATGTCTTTAAATAAATCCCCCTCCTTCCTCTATACGTTCCACGCTGAATCTGCTGCTTAGCTCAAGCTTTTGCTTGTATTGACAACAATTCTGGGCTTTTTCAAATTCAAAAATGTAAAATTAATTATGGGTTGAATATTGATTTCTGCAGAATATTGAAATTTGATCTGGTATGAATTGTCCCTACTATCAATGTACGGGGATGGGCGAAATCCTACAATTCACTATTCAGATTTATTTTAAAGTTTCCGAATATATAGGAATTGATGCAATTTAATGAGTTAGAATTTCAAAAATACAGAATTCATAAATTAACAGTAATTTGATTGGCTCTCCCTTTTTGTTTTATTTGTTAGAAATTTAATTCAGACTTCTTTGGTCATAAGAAGAGACATCGATTGCTCAGTTAGATCATCTTTAGAAAAAAAAATCTAAATTGTCTCATAATAAAGAAATTCGAATAGATTTGAATATCAAACTCCCTTGGTCATCCCCTAGTCGCAATGTTTCTGCCTTCGAATTAAAAAGTTTCTTAAAATCATGATTTGTATTCACTATGAGTTCCAATTGTATTAATGTTTTTTTCTTTTTTGTTCTTTTTATTTTTTTTTTTCAGAAATGTCTGAATATGATCACATGTTTAAAATGTGCATTCAGTAGTGCATTGCCCACATTCAAAAAAACCTTGCTTATTATTGAAGCTTTTAATGTGTTTAGACATTGAGAGGACATTTATTTCATTTACGACAATTTTGTTTCAATCTTACACTTGAGTTGCATTGAAAATATTTTTAAAATTCTGCCAAAGCTGAAATTGAAGGATAGAAGGATAAATCATTTGTGTGAATCCTTTTATTTTTGCATTTGGGCATAATCGGATTTGTATATAAAATTGCTGGCTCACGGTTTCAGTTTTTTGTTCAGAACGTTCAACGACACCATATCCATGAACCTAGACCCGAGACCATTTATACCGCCTAACTGAATTGTAATATATTGTTAAATATGAAAGGGATGGCCATACTATGATACCTTCTGTATCTTGTTAGGATGATCACACTGAAATGCAGCGAGCCTTTTTCAATTACAAACTAAACTGTTTGGTCATTCCAACCTGGCAAACCTTGTTTGTTTTTTTCTCCAAGAACCTCACTGAAGGCAGCAACCTAATTCCTTTTAAATCTGGGCCTTTATTGAATGGTGTGCAAGGTGTCATAATTATCCATGTTTATTTGCCATGTTTTCTTGATGTTCATATGTATATTGTTGTACATATTTCTGTGCTTTTTGTCGTGCGTGATTTTTTTTTTTCAATACTGCTGATATTCTGTCCACACCATTTATCGATGAATTTGTTTCACTGCCTGAACTCCCTACACAAGACTGACTGCCCTACACAAGCTGCACAAACCGACTGCCACGACCCATCCATTGCCAGTTATCTGGCGGATTTCATCTTCCCTGTCTTGTTTTTGGCAGCTACCTGCATCAGCGCTATTGATCGTTTTCTGTGGGACTAACTACTCATTCTCATATTTTTTGTGCCGGTGAATCCGTATGCATATAATGCAAGGATGCTGTAGCAAGAGTAAAGATAACTGCTCAAGAGTCTTGCTGAGTTAACTTGTGCTATCGAGGTTGTTGAATTGCTTGCTTCAGTAATTTTGGTTTATATACAGCCTGCATCTATGATGAGACAGACAATTGTGTAGTAGAAAAAGTGTATTATATTTTGTTCCTCTCTATATCTGTTGAAGTTAGTATTTAACCTGTTGCCATATTTCACCCCATGAACAGAGTTTGAGTTCCCGAACATGAATGTTCCCAATGGTTTACAGACTTTTCGCTCCACAGAATTTGGCATGCGACAGTTTGAGTTAACCTCGCCATGGAGGTTGTTTAAGAATAATAATAAATAACTATTCAAATAATTATAGATTTATTTGCGGATATTTATATTCACCACAGCAGCGACATATACCGATAACCTGCGGATTGTGTACAACCCAAACCTTGTGAATCCCCTAACTGTGCACAAATGTCTAAACCCGAATTTTTATTCTTATTTTTAAACATCTCCCAAGGCGAATGTAAAACAACATTATATAACTCAAGCCATCAAGTCTGTGGGATGATAGACTGTATACCCTTTCAGCCTTACCAATGACCCAGGCATTTGTAATTTAGTTTGTTTATTTGAATATTTAGTGAATTGTTGTTTTTCTAATACTGGCATCACATTGAAGGTGTTGCAAAGACCATGCTTGGTAAAGTTTGCAATTGGATAGATTATCTCATTCCCAAGCATGTCCTGTAGATAAACTGACTGTTATTTGTATATATGTAAACTGCTTTACCATCAGCCGAAGATGGACCATGCTTGATGCGACTGTAAGTATGGACGAATGCTAGGTGACGTCATTATTATGTTGAATAAATTAAAAAGCATCTGCGTATTTTTCTTGTGCATGAAGACGGGATCCGGCCCGCGACGCTTCACTGAATTATAGTAACAAATTATAGCTGTTTTGTCGATTATATTCTTTACGTAAAAGAATTTATGTGTAGACTAAATTATATTATAACGTAACAAGTATATAATTCACAATTACTCGGTTCAATGAGCCTATAATTTAATTATAATTTAGACAAATTGCAACAAAACGCAGAAAAGTTGATACTAAGAGCAAATGGTTTAATGGCGCAAAAAATATTCAAATGGTCAGTCTTCGCGCGCTGCTTAAAATTTAACTTCTGATCTGTGTGATAAAATGTGATTCATCGGTCATCCTTTCGATTTTTAACTTTCTAAAAATATGTGCGGCCCGCCAATGACTTGCAACCTTTAATTTTGTCCCGCGAGTGACGAAAGGTTGCCGACCCCTGATGTAGACCATGGGTGGGCAAGTATTGGCCCACCTGGACTGGCGGGCCATGTCAGTGTGACCTAAAAAGTTACATTTTATGAGCAGTTTTTACAGTGTTACAAAAGTGGAAACAATAGGCCTGGTGCCAAAACTAAATTTGATCGCAGTAGCAACAAATTCAATGAGGTATTTTTTAGCTGAAACATCAAAATTTAGTTTTGGCGGCTCAGATTGAATCGATCAACGGGCCGGATTTGGCCCGCGGGTGGTAGTTTGCACATGTCGGGTGTAAACAGTTATAGAATATCTATCATAACATATGTATACCAGGGGTGACAAAATCCAATGGGTTCACTTAATCGCATGGCGGACCACGGTCTCTTCAGAATTATCCGTTTTTAATTTGTGTGTATTATGAAGTTCTCAAGTAAACTATCTATCGTCCGTATACCATTCCATGTCGGGCTGTCGAAGTTACGGATTGGCAAATGTGTATTCAGATACGGTTGGTCACGTATTTGCTGACCTATGGCATCTCTCCGATCTTCAGCCAATCACCATCATATTTGAAACACGGTCGTTGGGGTTCAATATACAAGATTTTTTTATACCTGTCCCGAGGAGAGGAAAATCGATAAGATGTCGGAATAACTCACTCGTCTGATTATAAGAATTCTCAAAGGACAACGAATCAGATTGCCAAATGCAATAGACTTGCTGACCTCCTAGTCATCCTGGGCGGCAGAATGAATGATTTCAACTAATCAGATTTGTTTCGGGGTAAGGTGGGTGATATTCTGATTGTTTTTTTTATTCGTCCCGAAGTGGGAAAAACCAATGAGATGTCGAAATCATATACCGCAGAAACGCTCGGCAACAATTTGCTCGCTCGATTCCTGGTCGCATATCGGGGACTTCAACTCACCCAAAGGAATTAAAAAAAAATAGTTTTGGTAAAATAAGGAAAACATATATTTTTGAACTCCTAATTTTTAATATCGCTGTAAACTTTAATTAGAAAACCAGCTTGAAAATCATCCATTTCTTTATAAAATTCTTGAGGGCTAGGGCCTTTAAAAGACATATTCCGGCCTTGGCTGCGGTTGTCTAACATCCAAAATAAAAAAACAAGAACAGGTTCGCCAATTCTCACGTCATTTCAGGACGGGTTCGCACGAACCTGCTAAATCCTACCATTATCATCCGCAATTTATTGATGATTAAGACAGATTAATTGAAACAAGGTCGATAAGATTTCGTTGGGAAATAAGCTAAGCATCAGGCTTAATGAAATTTTTGACATGAATCGATTGCACACTGCTTCATTGACTTGGGATTTCCGCTTATGTCTGTGCGAAAGCTTTGGCGGATATGTTAGTTGTATTTTGTTCTTTTGGCAGAAATTGTCGTAATAAAAAAATACGCGATACAATTCCTGAAAGGTAGAATGAGTTTGCGGAATTTCGTTCTGGCAGTTTTGTATCGATAATATACCAAGTATATATTTTGAGTCTTGTAATTGTAATCCGAATCTTGATTTGTAATTTTATAGATTTGCATTCGTTTGCTGAAGGTAACATAGTATAGGATTTTTTTTATTTTGGGGAGAGAATAGACTATAAAATTGCTCGATCGCGTGGAAATAGCAATTAACGTCCGGAGAAGAGGAAAGTCAATAAAATAGCCCAGTCTTGTGGTGATTCGTCCGATTACCAGCCCACATCGGATGTGGCGATAGTTAACCACCGTTTTTCGGTCCATATGCATAAAATTGTGAGAGAAGACGTGAAAGACCAATGATTACTTGTCGCTTTGAAACGATAAGTCAACTGGCACTCATCTTGCTTATACTCTCGTGTAATTATCTCCACAGGATTAGAACCTATGAGAAATCAGTGATTTTGATCAGTTTTATTTTGATAGGATAGGATAGGATTTGCATATTTATCCCGGGGGAGAGGAAAGCCGATAAGACGGTTTATTCATATGGCGAACCACGGCCTCTCGTCCGGTTACCATTCCAAGTCGGGTATGGGATTAGTTTTTATTGTATTGTTTGTTTTCGGAAGCATGGACTTGGTGGTGGAGGAAGCCGTAACCGACCAGCGGTTACGTGAACCACCCAACGACGGCGAGGAGTCCAGCAATCCTCTCGCACATAACCATCCCTGCATGGGATTCGAACCTGCGAACCCACGCAGAGTAATTAGAGGTGAGGTGGCGAGCGTATTCCTAACGCTTAGCCCGTTGAGCCACACCGCCGCGCCAATATGCTATAAATTATTACTGTAAGGCTCAATCGGGGGTGTCGCTGCTCAATAACCAGTACTGGTTTCCTGCGCCTCCCTTCATCTTGAAATCCCATTTTTACTTCTTTATTCACAAAGTGTATTGTGCCCACAAAGTGCTTATATTGTGAAATAATAAACTCTGATTACTGATCAGTGGCACCCCTAGCAAGATGCGCCGGTCGTGGAGTCGTTGTTGTGTGGAATCGATTAGGATTCACATATTTATCTCGGGAGAGAAGAAAGACAACAATAGGCTCAATGATATTGCGAATCACGGCCTCTAGTCCGGTTACCAGTCCAAGTCGGGTATGAGATTAGTTAGCCAGTTACTTATCTCTGATGCATGGACTTGGTGGTGAAGGAAGCCGTACCCGACCAGCGGTTACGTGAACCACCCTACGGCTGCGAGGAGTCCAGCAATTCTCCCGCACATAACATAATTTTCCTCCACGAACCTGCTAACCCAGGGGTTCTCAAACTTTTTGTGTTGCGGAGCCCTTGAAAAAGTTGACTATTATTCACGGAGCCCCAAAATAAATGTTAAAATTGTTACTTTCCGAATAATATTTCTGAGTAAGTCAAAAGTAATGTACTTATTTTAAATGCTTAACCTCTTTTAATAGGGTTAATACAAGTCACAAATGAATCTAAATGTAAAAGATGAATTATATATACTAAAGCTGTAAACTTGATACTTGACAAACATATTAATAAATTAGGGGTCGGATCTTTTACCTTTAGATATTTTTGAAAGACTTAAAAGGCCGCTAATAACGTACTCGATTGCATTTTGTTACGATCGCCGATTGTTTTCGTCAGCATGGCGGTGTTTATTCTCCCTAAATCAAAAATTTTCCCCGACATATACATGTATGATGTATTGTTCCACAATGACAACGAGTATTGCTTTTTTGTTCTCGTGGGGAATTATGAGTTCAATGTGAAAAACATGTTACCACATTATAGTCACCGGAGACGAAATGCTAAAAATAATAAATAATAAAAGGTAAATCCGCAACTCAAATTTCTTGATTGAAAAGCGGCATACTGAAATATTAAAACTAAAACTTAAAATGGGAGATAACAATATAAGTTTTGTTTCAGCAGACTCACGTCAGATTAAAAACACGTTCATAGACATTGTGAATCAAAAATTTGGTGTTATGTTGGGTTTTCTTTGGTTATTCGTCGTAGTAACTGCGAAACCGAAACACAGTCAATTGTGCGTATTTTATGTTATTTCAGAATAGTAGTCTTTCATTTCAGTAATCCTAATAGTAAAATTAGCCAATTCAGTATTTTAAAAAGTAATCGAATAGCTCGCGGAGCCCCTGGGTTTCTCTCACGGAGCCCTGGGGCTCCGTACGGAGCACTTTGAGAACCTATGTGCTAACCAATGCTTGGCAGTCAGAAGTGATGAAGCGAGCGTATTCCCAACGGTTACCACGATGCGCCACACCACCGAACCGAATGTTATGTCAAGGAGTTTTGGAAACCATTTGATTAAATTATTATCTTCAGTCCACTTGTTAATCCATAAAATAATTTATCATCGATTCATGAAGCCATTCGTGAAATTTATCTCAACAATGATGTGACTTTCCATTGTGGATTCGAACATGAAATCCGAATAAGGGAACTGACGAATTTTGAACTCGGATTTCAGGTCATTCATCAAACATTCGAAGGCGAAGGTGATTGGGATTTTGGATAGGTACGGTATAAGTATAAGTATAAGTATAAGTTTATTTCGACTCCATAATCAGCATAACAATACATTTGACAGAAAAAAAAAAATAAATAAAATCTGATTATGAAATCAGGGGAGCAAACAAAACCTTAGATAAGGTTTATAACGTACAAAATATAAGATGAAAGGTTTTGCCAAGAGGAAGTGGTACGTGTTTACTCACCTAAAATTATCAAGTTATTTCACACACGCTCACATGCACCCACCAGCCACACACACACACAACCACTGAGAAGTTATTTAAGTAAGAATGAAACGCGATAAATTTAGGGTATACTATACAGTAAACAAAAAAAAAAATAAATAAATACTAGAAAAGAAAATTATCTGCCACACCATATTGATATTTTTGTAATGGTTGCCATTGCCAAATTGATCGATCTTCTAATCGTTAATTAGGTATATAAAAGGAAGATTCTATTGAAAACATATTGCCAAGCTGATTATAGTTGGAGTCAAATGCCAAGTTGCCCAACCAAAGTTGCCAGAATTGGGTGCATGAAGAGGTGGGCGAGACCATTTCATTCCCCAAATTAGAGCCTATTATTGCCAAATTATAGTCCAGATTGTAATAAGTAATTAAGTTACCAGTAACAGTAAAATTACTATAATTAAGTAAAGTAGGATGTGGAAATAAATTGGTTACAAAGGGTGTAAGTGAGGTTTTTCATTCTTGGGTATTGATTTCAGACAAGGATATGGGAATAAGGTTGTTATTTCACAGGATATCGGGAGTCTTTTTTTGTTTTTTTCCTTATGTGTTTTACTTCATTTAACCACTTTGAAGTAACCTGAAAAACAAAAAATAAAACTGCGAGTAGATGTTTCAATGATTGGGTGAAGGGGAACGCTCTGAACTATTTATTACAGGCAAAAAATAATTGTTTAATTAAATGGGATGTATTGTCATTATATAGCGATGGATAGATGATCTATGATGACATTCTGCTTGGGACAGAGAAAAATTTATCACACCATGCAAAAAACACACAAAATTTTACTATCTACCGGTACCGGTAATCCAGTAATCGGGTTTTATGAATACTGGAATAGGCTGTGTCTGTATGTAGAGTTTGTTTTTTATCTTATTCAAAAAGCAAAGTGTACAAATCAAGGAATAAAAAGTTGCGTTCTGCTGGTAGCCTAGTTCTGTAGTTGTGCCCACTTCCCGACTTCACTATTGCACCAGTCTTATTAACGTTATGTACCGTATTACCGGTACTGTATTAAGATTTTGTGAGATTGAGGGCAGGGAAACAATACCGGTACAGGCATCAGCACCACAGGTTAGTAGAGGTGCGATAACAAACGTCTTCCTAGTGATTCCAGACTATTGGCTGATTGTTATCTGACTGCCTGAATGAACCAACTGCCAGACTGTCGATTGAGGAACTTAGTGCTGGATCATTAGTCTGTTAGTTGGGAATTCAGTGTTCATGAAACAAATTAGTCTAGGCTATTACAAAACCAGAAAATTCAGAGATGACTTTCTTTTTCAAGAATATATTCTTGAACATCATGTATTACGGGTACTTTACCATAGTCGGATAGTGGTACGGTAGCTATATAAGTAGTGATCAACACTCAGACTTTGTGAAACATATCTTTACTGTGATACACGTTTCACGATACAATGCCCAAATAATTTGTTTTTTTTCTTTTAATATTTCAAATTTTGTTTTCGTATATTGTTATTTATATATTGTAAATTGTATATATATTTGTTGTCGTATATATTGTAAATTTCCTTTATTGTTTTAACAGATATTGAATATAATGCTATACTCGGATTTATAGTTCATTGTGCTAAACTGCACATAAACGCTGGAACAACGGCAACATGGGACAAACTTTATCAGAACCAGTGACGAGGAAAGAGACATCTAGTGATGAAAATCATACATTGAAAATCGGAGCGTCATGTATGCAGGGATGGAGAATCAGTATCCTTTGAAATAGGCCATAGTTAGCTTTCTGAATATCGAATTTGTCAAGTAATTTTCACTCGAGTCGATCCAATTTTGATAGAAAGTGATGAAAAAGTGTCAAAAGCTTTTCAAGAATAATTTGAGTTCACAATAAGACACGTCATATATTGCTCTGGCATTTCTCTTGTTAGAAAAATGAGTGGATAAAATTTCCTTCTAAATAAACAATTCTTTTTGTTATGTTATGAGGATACATAAACAAGAACTATATATTTTGATAAATGCCACGAGTGTTGGGAGTCTTTGAAAGTAGGTCACAAATCATGAAATTTTGAAAACTGCTGCTCTAAAGGAACAGTCTTGTGTGTAGGACCAACTTATTATTTTTTTTAAATCCTTGCATGGTCTATATTTGACTCAAATTTCATTTATCAAGTCTATGCATTTGGGACAAATAACTGGTCAACTAATCCCGTACTCAACATGGACTTAATGATTGGGCATTCCACGCCATATAAATAAGCTATCTTATCGGCGTTCCTTTGGATATATATGAAAATTTTATTCTAAATATTCCTTGACCAAATGATTCCCTCAAGATATGGAGGATGAACACACTCACTCCCTGTGTTTGAACGATGAGAAAGAATCTCACATGTTTGCTGTGTTTGATGGGCATGGCGGTCAGGCAGCCGCACAATTTGCAAGCAAGAAAATATGTAATGCCGTTGTATCGCATCACGCTTATCGTAAGTAAAGTGCAATATTGGCATAGATGAGTGTCTTTAACTTCTGAGTGAGTGCCCGTAACTTTGCTCAGAGATGAGTCACCTTTACTTCCGAGTGAGTGCCTGTAACTTTGCTCAGAGATGAGTCTCCTTTACTTCTGAGTGAGTAGTAACTTTGTTCAGGGATAAGTCATCTTTACTTCAGAGTGAGTGCCTGTAACTTTGCTCAGAGATGAATGAGTCTCCTTTACTTCTGTGTGAGTGCCTGTAACTTAGCTCAGAGATCAGTTTTCTTTACTTCACGAAAGTGCCATCAATGCACTTCCAAAATTCTATATAGTTTCTATAGCACCCGTCATTTTGTTGTTTGCCTCTAACTTTGCTCAGAGATCTGACTTACTTCTGAGTGAATTTAGGTAATCTTGTTTAAAGCTAATTTTCTTTTAAAATATCCTATTCCAGAAAAAGGTGACATAGCTGTTGCTTTGCGTGAGGGATTTCTGCAACTAGATGATGAAATGATGAGAGACCCAGCGATAAAGGACGACATGTCAGGATGTACTGCGGTGTCTATTCTTATCAAGGGTGGAAAAATCTATTGTGTGAGTCGTCGCTTTTTGTTGGAAATTTCAATATTAGGCCAGAGCCAGGGATTGCTATATAATTGGATAAGAGGAGAAATCAGAGGTGACCAAAATAGGGGCCTAATTCAATTATGAATGCAACCTGGAATGATATTTTCGAATATATTCTAAATTGAGTGAATTTTCACTTCAATGCTATATAAATACAACTATGGGTGCAAATCAATTATGCACACCAACATTTGCAGTTTCAGTATTCACCCATTGGATATTGTTAGGGGTGGCTTACAACTGCACCCAATGAACAACTCCTACTACAGACTTTGTGTGTTCTATATGTTTATCAGTGAATTTGATTGAAGTCATACGGAATTAATGATGATTGAATTGATAGTAATGCAGGTGTGATATTTTAAAATGTGTTATGTCTAATAGCTTATGGTCAGTGGAGAAATTGATAGGGATTGAATCAGTAATGCAGAATACTGGAGAGGATTAATACTTTAATTCTTTTTTTTTTAATGTCAGAGGTTGGGAGCGTTTGTTTTGTGTGTGTATGTCTTTAAAATAGCCTAATCTCTTTCCACAAAATAGCTGGTATATTCGTTAGATCATAGTTAACTTCTTCAGACAAAACAAGCGAATAATTATCTTGTAGCTGATATCTTGTTTTGTCTGAAAAGGGTTAAGACTATAATCTAACGAAAGCTTACAAATATACTGGCTATTCAGTGGAAAGAGATTGTGCTATCTTTGAGGAATTGTAGAAAAGAAATGCGTAACCTCAACTAATTTGAAATAAAGTTGGCACTTCTGACCAAAACGTTTCTGGTGGTGGTGTTAACATACTTTGGTAAATAGAGATATGTAGCGGTTAATTATACTTAGTTCAAGCATGACCACATGACTACTATTTAGTTTATCCCCTTTTCATACATGATCAACTATAAATTATCAATGCTGAGGTTATTGACTTAACTTGTCAATCCATTTCATTATGAGTTAATAATTGACCTAACTCAAATATGCGGCCAGCGGACGCTATTGGGGCGAAGTGATATTTAAACGTTACAATTGGCAAAAACTGCTTCTATGAGAATTCAAATCAGTGGTCCTTAAACCTTTTTTGAATATTTTATCTCTTTATTAAACAAGATTACAAGGTTTACCCTTATTCATTAAAAATGTACGAGCAAAGTATTATGAGCTCTAACTTCAGAGGCGAAGTCTCTCGTTCCCCCCTCCCCCCTCTTTCTCCTCTTACCCCATCTTCTCCTCATTCTCCGGCATGGAAAATGCGGGAGTGGGGTTCGGTGAGAAAAGAGTGAAATGGGAGGGAAAAAGGTGTGTGGGGGGGGAGTGGTAGAGCGGCGAAAAGAGTTGAGAGGTGGATGAGTGGGGGGGAGTGTAAAAGGGAAAGAGTGGGAAGGGGTTGATAAAAGATTTTTTTTGTGCCATTTTGTTTCAACAAATTCTAGTGTGCTATTTTTGTGACTAAATTTAATGTAATGAGTAAAATATTAAAGAACACGACTTGGTGTTGGTTTTCAATTTCGTTTGAAATATAGGCCTACTGATAATAATAGGCTGATGCTGATTTCTTGTAACAATACAAGCAAATTGTGGTGTTTATTCAAAGTCTTTTTCACAATAACGAAATTTACCTCCACGAATGAAGAAATTCACCCTAGGTTAAGAAATGCTGTTTAAATAATGAAAATGACTGTTTGAATGAGATTCACCTTCATTGCACGGAAATCTAACGATGTAAAATGGATAAACCTTTAATTGCACAACAATAAGTTCATGTATATTATTCAAAATGGAAGATTGCTTACATATTCAACACAATTTTGTTGGCATTGTCAGCTTAGTTTGCCCTGAGCATATCCCTGAGTTTGCAAGGCCAAGCAGAAATATGCTAGTCCTAATTTACATGTCTGCTTGCACATTATTCTGGGTTATAATTTATCAAAAGATATTTGAAATTTGACTGAATTTTGAGTTGAATTAGAAAAGCCGCACTATTCAAGCATGCATATCATTGCGCTCCAGATGCATGTGTACCAATATGGAGGTAAATAATATTGTTCGCCTACTCTTCATCAAGTTGTGTAAAGGGACTGAAACCCATGGGCAGGGGTATATTCATTTGGCTAACACAGACAGTCCCCGAACTCGTAATAGAAATAAAATAAGGGAAATCGAAATAAAATTGCGGTTTAACCCTAACCTGTCACACACACTACGGAAGTTCCCGTATCGTTAATGCAGAGGGATACTTGACAGTCAAAAGCCATGAGTCATACTATACGGCTAATTTCGAATTGCTCAATACCAGCCAGTACCTGAGACTCTTGTCTTGGACGTTACTCATGTTACAGAAATGTCATTCTTTGTCGAGCCATCGTGGAAGACAGAGAGAGACTTTGTTTACAAAATAATTCTTCCATTGTTTGTCTGATACGCTCATTTCAAATGTTTAGGTTTGAATTATGGAATCGTTATTCTGTGAAATTAAAAGTTGCCAATGTGATTTGAGATTCAGAGTTTGAATATCTGTTGTTGTTGGCTCTGCTGCCAACGCCATACACACTAATGATGACAGTGTTCTTAAAACTGAATTCCCGGCCTTACAAATTTTAATTAGGTATTAGAACCTTTGGTGTCGGTGCCTGATAACTAATTCTGGTTCCCGACGGCTCCCATTCCCCGGTATAAATATACATTCAATGCTATTTTCATTGCATGGAAAAAATAAACTTTACCATGACTATTATTGGATAACTTATGATGTCTCAAAACAATTGGCTTTAGTTGACTACTCATATTTCAAAAATTGAACCCCAATCAGAACCAAATTAAGGCTTTTATAGACATGGCGTTAGACATATCGCAGCAGTAAAACGTATCGTGTATCCCCGCATTGAACAGATCCCACATATAAGCCGACCCCCTGAAACAGGTGAATTTATAAAAATTTGCATATAAGCCGACCCTACAACTCGTACGCTCTTATCATGAGAAATTAGCATGGTTTGAGTTATAGCTGTTGGAATTGAGTGAGCATAATGTCATTTTATCTGAGTGCAATCAGAGTTATGCGCATATATGCCAATATTCATGTGCTATCAAAGTTATGCACGTTTACGCCGCCCCTTACGAGTTTTAAACTTTGCTCATGTGCAAGGATATACTGCAGCTTATGTCACATTTTCCAAAAATGAACATTTCACATCTTCTGTCAATATGTTTTGTAAGAATATCTGATTCCTTTCCCATGAAGGGTAAGAGTAATCATTGTGAGGAAGATATTTTTTGAAAATCAAATGTGACTCGAGCTAACTTGGTATTGCTGCAGTGATATACTGTAATTGTAGGCTTATATTACTAGGTGACAATCATTGGGAAATACGATTTTTAATGAAAAAATTTCAGCTCAGAAACGTAGAAAAGTTTTGCCCACCGGTGTATAGTAACTGAAAAATTTATTATGGGTTCTGCTTTTTAAAGGATTACCCTGTATTATAGTGGCCATTTGCTGACTGTCTGTCACATTCTTATCAAATGTATCTCCATTTCAGGGAAACATCGGCGATTCGAGAGCAATTACAAGTGTACGAGGCCACGTTCAACAATTGAGTTTCGATCACAAACCCAACCACTCGAGGGAGCTACAGAGGATAACGGCAGCCGGGGGTTGGGTGGAGTTCAACAGAGTGAACGGGAACCTTGCACTGTCTCGAGCTTTCGGGGATTTTTCATTCAAGAAAAATTCAGATAAAAAACCTGAAGAACAAGTTGTTACAGGTGAGAGTAGCCGTGCTCTTTCTCGTGTTAGGGTACAATATTTGTATTTGTCGTGGGAGAGAGAGAAGTTGATAAGATGGTATATAATCAATGCTTACTACGACCAGTTCCAGTTCAGATGAATGGACTTGATGGTGGAATTTCATTTTGTGCAATAACGAGAAAAAATGTTCCTTCCTTTTTTTCCCTGTGGCTAGTGCGAGGTTTGAACTGAGCTGAAAAATCCAATCTCAATATTGTTGCCCGATTATGTAGCAATATTAGTTTTTTTACAATGCCGCTATAACACTTTGTATCTTAATTTTTGTTTTCGAATTTGTTACACTCCAAAAGAAAATTGACATTAATTTTTTTAAATTGTGAAAATGGGAGGAATTTTACCCAAATTTATTTTTTTTAACTTGTAATATTACTTCCATTATAATATAGTCTTCTGTTTATTAATGTTCTTGATATTCCAGAGATGTGTTACTTTTATTCTATGAATTGATCTTGAAGAAACTGATACAAACTTATTTTAAATAAAATTTTCATTACATGTCCAATTTGATAGCCAAACAACAAGGGACAGCAATAGGGGAATTGCATTGATTTAATGCTGCTGGTCTACAACACATCTCTGTTAGCTCCTCAGAGGAATTAGGAATAAAATGCTAATTACATGTTCAATTTGTTAGCCAGAAAATTTGTGTTGATTTTAACAAATCTCCTCAGTTAGCTAGTGTCAGGTTACATTGCTAAATTGTTTCATTCATTCCAGCTTATCCCGATGTAATAGTGAAAGATCTGACACCAGACCATGAATTCCTGGTTCTGGCCTGTGATGGGATCTGGGATGTTTTATCCAACGAAGACGTCGTTGATTTTGTTCGAGAAAAACTGGCAACAAGGATGCAGCCTGAGATGGTGAGTATTTTAATGATACCTAATAAGGCTATGGATGTTTCCCTGGGCATCGATTTCATTGTTTATTACCGCAACAAATACAAATCAGCAATAAGTGAACAATGACGTAACAATTGGAATTGAGCTGTCGCTCAGACGCTTCTTTCGCTCAGACAGATATTCAAGCGCGATTTTGAACATCAGCTTTTTTGGTAGTTTTGCGTGTTATTTGTCAGTTTTTGGTTGTTTCCAAAAAATAGTTGTAAATGAAGTATTGTAAATGTCATTATGTCTTCTGAGGACCTTTAGTTTAGAGACAATAATTAAAAATTGACACCGCAAACGCTGCGATAGACCAGCCTGGGTGCTCCCGAAGTATGCGAACCAAGATGGCGGACATCGGAACGTAACACGGGTAACAGGTTAGGGTTAGGCCATAATTTTTTTTCCAATTTTCCTTATTTTAGTCCTATTATCAGTTCGAAGACTAGCCAAGAGCCTCCCGTAGTATTTATACCTAAAATTATGGCCTAACCCTAACCTAGTACACATATTAAATTCCGATGTCTGCCAACTTGGTTCGCATACTCGGGACCCCCCAGCCTGAAATAAGGTATCAGCACCTGTAAGCGTCACATGGTTGATTGTTTTGAAGAAAAATGATAGTTTTGAACATGTGAGTCAGTTTGTAAGCGCCAACTCTCCAGAACACTCTTAAAATCAGCGTTGAGATTTGATAGGGAAACTTTCAGGGGTCAAGGGTCGGGGATACATCCATACACAAGCTGTTATGCATGTTTAAATACTTGATTTTAGAATAGTTTTATTTGAAGTCCAAAATGACCAGTGGTTGTAAGTTTGTAACTGTAGTCGCATGAAGGGTTACAATTTCAGGTTTAAATCATGTGCCCACTGCCTTAACCAGGATGTAAGGGTTAGACAACGAGTATACAAACGCCATATTAAAAAAGGCCCTTCAGAAGTATGTACACCAAGATAGCGCACAACCTGATAACCCTAACCTGGTACACATACTATGTTCAGGTTGTGTGACATCTTGGTATACATACTTCGGGAGCACCTTGAAAAATGATTACTCCCACAGTGTGTATACCAGGTTAGGGTCAGGCCGGAAATTTATTTCGATTTCCCTTATTTAAGTTTTATTACGAGTTCGGGGACTGTCTGTGTTAGCCAAGTGAATTTTCCCCTGCCCATAGGTTTCAGTGCAACTTGATGTAAATTAGACGAACAAAATTAGTCACCTCCATATTGGTACACATACTGCTGCAGCGACAAAAGATGTGTATGGAACCAGCTGCCTTTCCGGCATTCCTAATACTTTTTTTTTATATTTTTCAGATTTGTGAACATTTGCTCACTAGATGTCTCGCTAATGATTGTTCGGCTGGGGGAATAGGATGCGACAATATGACTGTAATGATCATTGTTTTCAAACAATCCGGTTCTTTTGAAAAAACTTGTGAAAAATGTGCTGTTCCAAAGAGAGACCCCATCCCTCCCTCCTGTCTATTGTCATCCTACCCAGACTTTGTCCAAGGAAACCTATAAAGAGGAGTTTTAACTGTTTGTTGTTCATATCAGGGTCAGGGGAATGTCCATATAAGAATAGTTTGGTATAGCTTTCTTGCAATTCATTTGACAGGATTTATTTTCATTGTGAAATTGTGATACATAAATTATTAGTTACTTGAAAAACTACAAAGTGATAATTTTGGCTATTTGAATTGTAAAATGCACTTTTTGTATTGGTGAGCAGTATTTTTTAGAGTGCTAATTAACAAACGTAACACAAAAATTGATCAAATTTTAATCAGAATTCTGGTGTGTTATCGACTGCTAAAAATCCTGTTCATCATTCTAGTGATATTTATAGTGTTATTTTGATTGGTTGATTCCAAATCCCATTGTGTTCAAACAATCCATGCACAAAAAAGCGAATACACCCTGTGAAATAACCTTATTAAGCAATGCAACTAGAAAGAATGGGAAGTTTTTTCTATCGATAAATGTCTTGTAGAGTAAAATCAGTTTTGCGCGAAGCAGTGTGACCCCCCTCTAACTGCTCTGTGGCCCCATTTGGGGGTCACGGCCCCCGGTTGGGAACTGTTGCTTTATAGTTTCAGCAACTCTTGACAATATAATGGTCACCTGTAACCAGTGGAGGGATTCAAATTTTTTGTCAGTCGGTTCCATCACAAAAGTCATTTTTTCAGCAAATAAACTGAATGCTAACCAGTTCGCTGACCTCATAAAATTCCGTGAGATGGTTCTATAGAACCACTGCAAATCGACTGGATCCCACCACTGCTTGTAACTCATAAGAATACTGCATGTTCAGAAGACCTGATCGTTTAGCAATACCCAACTATTTGTATATGGACATCCCATGTATTAATCTACCCCCTAAATATTTTTATCAAGTTTGTTATTCCCCTCAAGGTGCTTCCCCATGGTACAGAAACATTTCACTGTGTGCTTGTTATATATTATAGTGAGTACGTCTGTTCCTAGTAAGTTTGCCAAATTTATTTTTTGCTTCGCTGATTTATTTCGGTTTCAATTTTTACTGAAAATAATGGGAGGCCAGAAAAGATAACTGAAACTCAGTTTGGGACTATCTGGTTAGGTGTGGCCTTGTTAACTAGAGGTTTGCAGGACAATTTGCAATTGCCTGATGCAGTGGCTCTCAAACTTTTTAAGTCATGCTTCCTTTTTAGAATTTGTCAAGTCTTGCACCACACCTCTATAACAATAAGCTACAAATAACAGATAGTAAAGCAAAAGTATGTTTTATTCGAGAACACGATAAAAATATGTGGATGAAATCGCAATGTCTAAACAATAAAGAAATGTAAATATCCAAAATAAGGCGTGCAAGATCAAATATAACAAATATTTTCATTTTAATTAGCTTAACTAACCGTCTTAAAATTGAACTGTTAAAGCAAATCTCATCTGAGTTCCAGCTACTTTCATTCAACCTCATTAGGTCCGTCTGGACAGCTTTCCCTTTGTTCAGAAATCAACATGAGTATCCTCTCCCCATAAGGTCAATTAAGACATCCCAAGTTCTTACTGATTCAAGATTTCTTAGCATTAGAGTCCCAAACTGAAGTGAACAAACTCAAGTCCATGCTCCAGGAAACAAATACTGTAACTGGCTATCTAATCCAGGGGTGCACAACACGAGGCACGCGTGCCAAATTTGGCAAGCCATACGCTCAAACGTGGCACGCAAACGGTTTTGTAAAAAAAATATTTATGATATATATACATTAAAATATCACGTTTATATCAAAATCAGCATTTTTCAGGACACTAAATTGTTTCAATAAATAGATATCCGTTATTATGTATTGTTATTGCAATTTGTTTGTTTTACGGGAGTTCATTTACAGTACCACAATTGTGTGTGGCACGCGACAAGATTATTTTGAAAAATTTGGCACGTATCCTCATTTGAGTTGTGCACCCCTGATCTAATCCCATACCCGACATTGACTGGTAATCGGACGAGAGGCCGTGGATCGTCATATGACTAAGTCGTCTTATCGGCTTTCCTCTCCCCAGAATAAATATGTGAATCCGATCCAATCTCATCTGAGTTCCAGCTACTTTTTTTCGGCCTCATCATTTTTCCAGCAATTACTGAGATCTTTCATGCTTTGTTTGTTAATTATTGCCTGCTATTTCAGCCTCAGACAGATTTGCTCCAAGATTTTAAGATAAAAAATAATTTGATAAAAGTTTATACTTTGCTTTTTCATTTTTTGATATCTCAAAGCATATGAAGTATATATTCTTGTTCAGATTTCTATAACTCATCAGCCTGTTATTGTAAACGCATTTGATTTAAAATTATTTCAATCGAATCTCTATAGGGCAGTTTAGAGCTTGATCTGATTTAATAAATGAAGAGTATCAGAATTATTCGTTGATTGAAATTAAACCAGCGTATGATTAACATTTTGTAATCTGTTTTACTAACGCTTGCTCGCAGAATCACATCTTTTAAATTTCTTATACATTCTGAATCGGGCAATGCTCATCATAGAAGTCAATGCTTTAACTGATCCTGAATTTGGAAATGCGGAAAAGTTAAGATACAAAATGATTTTATTGGTTCCATATTTTTTTATAGTTTTCAGAAATTGAACGATTACTGTGTGGTGACTTCAGCAATTGCAAAAACAATGTTTTTTCAGATTATTCCTGAAATTAAGAATTGAAACCATCCAATATATTTAACTTTAGAAAAGGTTTGATTTGTTCTGGACAGTCTTTATCGATTAATTTTCTGAATTATTTTTTATTCCCCACAAAGTGTGCTGGCTTCATGTCTTGTGAAGTCACAGAATTTAAAAAATTTAAATCTAAGTTGGATCATTTTTTTTGCTTCTGGATGTCTATATGGTTTGCTATTCATATCTCAATATAAATATATCCTCATTTTGTGAACAACAGACATACAACGGATTCCCATTTTTACAATTTACAGCAGATTTCACAGTTTAAATAGCAGAATTTACTGAAAAAAAATCAGTGATTTTGAAAATTGAATTGCAAAAAGTGTGTTTGCTTTAAAAATTTTGTTTAGGCTGTCGTTGGCTTTCTTTGCGAGATGTTCCTTTCTTCAATTGAATGTAGACTGCACATTTCATATAATTTGCACCTTTAATTTATTCAATATATTTTAAAAACTCAAGCTTCGTACGCTGGCACAACTAATCCATGTAACAGACACTTCAATATTACCTATGGCAGTGGTTCTCAAACTTTTTAAGCTGCAACACCATTTTATAATTAGTCTCGCGTTCACCTCAAAAATAACTGGCCAACAATAATCTCAAATAACAGATAGTAAGGCAGAATTTGTCTACGCCACTGTTGTGAGGCACGCCCCCACTGTTTGAGAACTGCTGACCCAGGGTGAGATCCTTGACAACCATCTCAAGTAAAGGTCTTCAAGAACACTACATATTCTGGTCTTCGATTGCAAGGCCATATTCCAAGCAGTGATTGGTATTTCATGAGTTTCAAATTTTTAGCATTTATTCTATATTGATTGTTTGGCAGAGGAAAGCAATTCGCCTTCCCATTATGAAGCTTCCATGTGTGGTGGTTTTTATTCACTTGGGTGAACCATTACCAAATAGCAATGAGAAATACAGTAAGAAATATTGATTTGATAAATCCTATTTGTGATTCAAACAAACACTTGATGGAGGCATTTTGTATTTTGAAATAATTCTCAACCCCACCAAGTTGTGATATATTGTCACAGCCATTGAAACAATATTGTGATAATTTACCACTGTGTCAGTTTTCAGCGGCCAAATATGTTCGCTGCTGTGGCAAGAAAATAAAGTTTTAGTTTTTACTGTTTTTCTTTGTTGTAAAATGTTTGGGATTGACAATGCAGAGTAGAAAGGTGATTCCCCCTCCCTCTTTTAAACCCGTAGACCTCTATGAAGGTGTATTGAAAACTTGAGCTTTGGTCAGTACTAGCAGTGTGTTCTCCTGACTTTGATATAATTAGAGAGCCCTAGAACTAGACCTCCCAGCCATCTTAGCTAGAAAACCCTTTTGTTTATCGCAGTCTCTAGTACAGAGTTTACTCGGCCCCAGAGGGCCAAAAGATGAGAACGTTGCTTGGTACCAGTCGCCATGGCTACATCAATTGATAAGTCTCCAGGCATCAAGACACAGGGGATTGAGTTAAATCTCCGGCGAAGATGCTGGAAAAAACCATAAGTACATTGACGCTTGAAACTTCCATTATATGTTATTTTGAGGATTCCTGTATCGACAACTTACATTTTCATCAACAAGAGTTACCTATTTCGTCGAGCTGCAACAAGCTGGTGAATTCACTTTTTCAATACAGCATTAATCAGTATTGGGAAATGGTGTGTTAACTTTTTTTCTAATACTAAAATTATTTTTGAAATTCAGCTGTCTCGAGCTGTTTGGTCAAGTCAGATAACTCGAGTCTCTGGAAAAAATGGCGCAAGTTGAGTCAAAGACCCAACCGGTACCTTTCATGAGATTCCTTCTAAAATCATCCAAACTGAAAAAATTGTGAATGACCAGAGTGATGAGACAAATTTTTTTTTAAAGATTTCAAGAGGCTTGGAGACAGATGTTTCATTCCAATTAACCGGTCTGATTTGTTAGCAGATTCATAGAATAAATTTGCATGAAATAACTGGTTTATTACCTCGAAAATACAAATCACTAACTAGTTTTGGTGTTATGTAGTGTTGAGGATTCTGGTGACACGGTTCAAATCACCACTCTCCTATAAACTCCAAGTCAAAGAAAATTCGAAATGAAAACACTTGCCATCAAATAACTGCCAAAGTCACTTGATACTCAATACACCCGGTCTTTCACATAGATTAATTTGAAGTGAAAAACAGGTTTATCTAGACTTGGAAAACGTTATATTTTCAAACTAATAGTAATGGCTCATGGCAAGGTGCCTGGTTGTGAGCTGTCACTGTATACCCTTCTTCAGATTAGTCAAACATCTTTCAAAATTAGTCGAACACGTAGTTGCAAATAACCACGCTATTTATAAAAGTTGATCCCAAATAATTTCTGAACCTTCATCTGAATACTTGAGTGGCAGAATCCTGACTGGCTTATTGACAGCTTGCCCAGGGACAGAAGTGCATGGAGTAACTCATCATATTCCACTCAAAAACATACTTTTTTATTTCGAAAAAAGAAATTTAAATTGAAACAAGGCAGAGTAAGTAGAATAAATATATATTTCATAGAAGAAAATTCACAACACCTTATGGAGTGTTTCACTGTCAAGGCAAGTCAGCTTTTTGAAGAAAGGCTAAAACTAGATTGAGATCCAGTCAATCATTTGGTTTGAATTGAGACTAATTCGGGGTATAGGGCGTGGATGTTCAAACTGATATTATTCAGTTAAAGTATCTCAATTCATTGTTATGCTTACACCATTAAAGTACTACACTACTGAGAGAAACAATTTTTTCAAAGATTTCAAATCTGGGCACTTAGCAATGATGATGTGGTTTAGTTATGAGTAACAGAATAACCAAACAGAGAATTTATCAGAGTATCAAACATATTTTCGGATAAAAATGGCAATATTTAATATGAAATCAAATTCATAATATAACTGCTGACAATGCCATGCAAAAGACAGGAATTTTCAAAACCATCAAATACAATATTATTGTTTTTTGCTTTTAAGAATTTAAAGTGATTCTGCAGAATTGGTATCGGCTTTAAATAAAGAATAAAAAGTTCAATGGTGTTTTACATTTCTAAAATCTATCTATCAATAACTTCTCTACAAATTTCGCATTCCCGATGTATGTGAACCAAGATGGCAGACACCGGAACGAAGTATGTATACCAGTGACTTCCGTACTGAAATTATGCACAGTGATTTCTCATATGGGAAGGAACAAAGTAAGAGCAAATGGGAGATATCATTGAACACGTTAAATTTAGCAAATTTTCATCAGACTGATATCAGGCGATTCATCATATGCGAAGAGGGATAGAGCTTAAATAATTGCAACATGAAGTCAAATTACCTACAAATTCATCAAATTTAAAGCAGCTGGGATTGGAGCCAATATTCTAGGCCAGGGGTGCCCAATTTGGCTCGCCAAATGCTCAAACGTGGCACGCGAACGGTTTAAAAAATAATTTATGATATACATTAAAATATCACGTTTTTATCAAAATCAGCAGTTTTTCAGGACTTTAAATTGTTTCAATGAATAGAAATCCGTTATTATGTATTGTTATTGCAATTTGTTTGTTTTACGGGAGTTCATTTTAATCATTTACAATACCACAATTGTGTGTGGCAAGCGACAAGATTATTTTGAAAAATTTGGCACGTATCCTCATTTGAGTTGTGCACCCCTGTTCTAGTCAACCATGAGCCAAGATTGCTTTCCATATGCCTTGGAGTGGGGTATCAATTTTTGTTACTCCACATTCCTGCTTTTGATTTGAATTGACGAGTGTGTTGCGTGAGGTTTATTGAAATAAAAATAATATAAGAATCATCTTACAAGTATTTATTTAGAAGAAGAGTAGAATTTACTAAAATTTTAAAAACAACATGAAATGATCAGGTACTGATCAAGATGCCGCGAACTGGTTTGATAAATATTGAAATATATAAATATAATTTTTCGAAATATTTCAACAACCACCGCTACATGACCACACAAGATTCATTATTCGGTTTTGATTCCGGCTGGCTAGTTCTTTTCGCTCTCTCTGCTCGGTGAATCGCAAAGTCTCGAGCAACACTTTGTGCATAGAATCGTCCGTACCAACCAGACCGTGTATCGTTAGACGTTTCCATGTAGTTGTCACGTGATTGTTGATCGTCGTCTGGATGAACATTCTGCCATGACGAGCCTTGACCCCTGCAAAAATGAGTTGCCAGAATAAAAAAGAAAAATCTTTCTGACGATATCTTCGAGAATTCAAAACTCTGCACTGCCAAAAGTCCTGTGATAATAACTTTAAATAAATTCGAGAGCAATTGTATAAAATTTTCCGAGATATTTAAAGCAGAAAGTTATGTGGACGCAACAAAGAGCTCGAACTGCTTGCAAAGAGCGAAACACTAAACTTAAAAATTTTCTCAACTTCTAGTAGAAAAAGTACTTTTATATCACATTTGTAATAATGGAAACAAATCAGAAGTCTTGCTACCTAAAGTGTTTATGAAATCTATTGTTTGATTGATTCAGGCATGGACAAGCAACAACATTCTGCCATGATGAACCTTGACCCCAAAAAAAGATGAGTTATGAGTGGAAAAATATTTCTGCTCATATCATTGAGAATTTAAAACTCTGCACTGACAAGATGCTTGTGATAATTACAAAATATTGGACAAATTTGTATAACATTGTTATTTTGAAGGGACAGAGAGCCCAAACCCCTCACAAAAAGCGAAACAGTAAATTTAAAAATATTCTTATTTTCTAGTGAAAAAAGTACTTGTGATATGAAATTTTGTAAATTTATTTGGCAGGAATGAAGCTTGAGGCACCATTCCCAGATTTACCTATGCTAGCATTACAGGCATCCAATCCCCAACTAGGGTGCGAATCAAAAAGATTCCATTCTGGTCCTTTCAAAATATTAGCTTTATTCATATCGCTAGACATCAGTGAATGCTTGTACAGGGCCTTCTTCAGAGCAAATGAGGTAAATGGGTATCATATATAACATAGGCTTAAGACATGCAATTATTATCAGCACAAACCTTTTAGTTTCAGTTCTACGACCTTGCCATGTCCGGAACTCAGTATTTGATTTAAACTTCCAACGATTCGAAAAATCCTGTGATTCGTTTGAATCTCTTCGATCACTTAGCAACGCTTGATACGCTTCATTGATTTCAGCAAATAGTTTCACAGATTGTTTGTTGCCTTGGTTACGATCAGGATGATGCAATAAACTTTTTTTATAATATGCTTGTTTTATTTTCGCTTCAGAAGCCTGCAATGGGACACCGAGTTTGTCACAGTACGTCTTCAACTGTGCTTTAGTGAATGAACTTTGCAAACGTCTCGGCACAGCAAGGCATGGTGAATTCATCACATTGGTGGGTCACTTACAACATGATTCTTAACCTAGTTTACTTCTAAGTGCCTGTAATTTGAAAAACAAACATTGTCATCTAATCCAAAGCAAGCATTGCTTATTTCATCAATTTACAATGTCTATGACTAGGACCGATTGATGAGGAACGCATTGAACCAGCAAAAGTTATCTAAATGCAAATTCATTGGCAAAATTTCTGGAAATGTTGTTTTTATAATAGATGGACAACACGACTAACAGAACAAAATAGTAATTCATTTTCTTCACAGAATAAATATCTATTAATTCACTCCAACTTAAGGGTGGGGGACATTGATCAGTTATTTTACCACTATCTTGAAAATACACATTTTTACATACAAAACCAAGAAAGATGCATTCCAGGATGGAAGGGGACGCGATAAACCAGTATTGCTTATCGAGCAGCCCCACCTATAAAAAGTCCTATCATTAGGTCATATAAAAGGGAAAATCTAACATTAAATACTAGGGTGAAGGGTCAAATGACAAAATACTAACATTGCTTGTGGCATAAATGTTTGACTTTGTAGTTGGTGCGCTGGACAAGAACCACGATGACATCGAAGATACACATCTCAGTCAAAAGCATTAAAAAATTATCATTTTACCAGTCACCATATCTAAAGAAATTATGAATGGCCTGAGCGATGAGACAAATTTTAAAAATGTTTCAAAAGGCTTGAAGGTGGATGTTTCAATTAACTAGTCTAATTTATGATTGAAATGACTGGTTTATTAACCTGAAAATACAAATCACTAGTTTTGGTGCTATGTAGTGTTGAGGATTCTGGTGACACGGTTCAAATCACCTTTCCTATAGACTCCAACTCAATGAAAATTCTAAATGAAAACACTTGCCATCAAATAACTGCTAAAGTCACTTGATACTCAATACACCCGGTCTTTCACATAGATTAATTTATCTAGACTTAGAGAACGTTATACTTTCAAACTAATAGCTCATGGCAAAGTGCCTGGTTGTGAGCTGTCACTGGATACCCTTCTTCAGATTAGTCAAACATCTTTCAAAATTAGTCGAACACGTAGTTGCAAATAACCACGCTAGATATAAAAGTTGATGCCAAATAATTTCTGACCCTTCATCTAAATACTTGAGTGGCAGAATCCTGACTGGCTTATTGACAGCTTTGTAGTTTGCCCTGGGACAGAAGTACGTGCGAGTAACCCAACATATTTCACTCATAAACATACTTTTATTTCAAAAGAAATTTAAAATGAAACAAGGCAGAGGAAGTAGAATAAATATATATTTCATAGAAGAACATCTCACAACATCTTATGGAGTGTTTCACTGTCAAGGCAAGTCAGCTTTTTGAAGAAAGGCAAATAACACTAGTCTGAGATCCAGTCAATCATTTGGTTTGAATTGAGACTAATTCGGGAAGTATCTCAATTCATTGTTATGCTTACACCATTAAGTACTACACTACCGAGAGAAACAATTTTTTCAAAAATTTCAAATCTGGGCACTTAGCAATGATGATGTGGTTTAGTTATGAGTAACAGAATAACCAAACAGAGAATTTATCAGAGTATCAAACATATTTTCGGATAAAAATGGCAATATTTAATATGAAATCAAATTCATAATATAACTGCTGACAATGCCATGCAAAAGACAGGAATTTTCAAAACCATCAAATACAATATTATTGTTTTTTGCTTTTAAGAATTTAAAGTGATTCTGCAGAATTGGTATCGGCTTTAAATAAAGAATAAAAAGTTCAATGGTGTTTTACATTTCTAAAATCTATCTATCAATAACTTCTCTACAAATTTCGCATTCCCGATGTATGTGAACCAAGATGGCAGACACCGGAACGTAGTATGTATACCAGTGACTTCCGTACTGAAATTATGCACAGTGATTTCTCATATGGGAAGGAACAAAGTAAGAGCAAATGGGAGATATCATTGGACACGTTAAATTTAGCAAATTTTCATCAGACTGATATCAGGTTCACCCGGCACACAGATACGATTCATCATATGCGAATGTAGGGTTCTCAGAATAAGGGATAGAGCTTAAATAATTGCAACATGAAGTCAAATTACCTACAAATTCATCAAATTTAAAGCAGCTGGGATTGGAGCCAATATTCTAGTCCAGGGGTGCACAACACGGGGCACGCGTGCCAAATTTGGCTCGCCAAATGCTCAAACGTGGCACGCGAACGGTTTAAAAAATAATTTATGATATACATTAAAATATCACGTTTTTATCAAAATCAGCAGTTTTTCAGGACTTTAAATTGTTTCAATAAATAGATATCCGTTATTATGTATTGTTATTGCAATTTGTTTGTTTTGCGGGAGTTCATTTACAATACCACAATTGTGTGTGGCAAGCGACAAGATTATTTTGAAAAATTTGGCACGTATCCTCATTTGAGTTGTGCACCCCTGTTCTAGTCAACCATGAGCCAAGATTGCTTTCCATATGCCTTGGAGTGGGGTATCAATTTTTGTTACTCCACATTCCTGCTTTTGATTTGAATTGACGAGTGTGTTGCGTGAGGTTTATTGAAATAAAAATAATATAAGAATCATCTTACAAGTACTTATTTAGAAGAAGAGTAGAATTTACTAAAATTTTAAAAACAACATGAAATGACCAGGTACTGATCAAGATGGCGCAGAACTGGTTTGATAAGTTTTGAATTATATAAATATCATTTTTCGAAATATTTCAACAACCACTGCTACATGACCACACAAGATTCATTATTCGGTTTTGGTCCCGGCTGGCTAGTTCTTTTCGCTCTCTCTGCTCGGTGAATCGCAAAGTCTCGAGCAACACTTTGTGCATAGAATCGTCCGTACCAACCAGACCGTGTATCGTTAGACGTTTCCATGTAGTTGTCACGTGATTGTTGATCGTCGTCTGGATGAACATTCTGCCATGACGAACCTTGACCCCTGCAAAAATGAGTTGCCAGAATAAAAAAGAAAAATCTTTCTGACGATATCTTCAAGAATTCAAAACTCTGCACTGCCAAAAGTCCTGTGATAATAACTTAAATAAATTCGAGAGCAATTGTATAAAATTTTCCGAGATATTTAAAGCAGAAAGTTATTTGGACGCAACAAAGAGCTCGAACTGCTTGCAAAGAGCGAAACACTAAACTTAAAAATTTTCTCAACTTCTAGTAGAAAAAGTACTTTTATATCACATTTGTGATAATGGAAACAAATCAGAAGTCTTGCTATCTAAAGTGTTTATGAAATCTATCGTTTGATTGATTCAGGCATGGACAAGCAACAACATTCTGCCATGATGAACCTTGACCCCAAAAAAAGATGAGTTATGAGTGGAAAAATATTTCTGCTCATATCATTGAGAATTTAAAACTCTGCGCTGACAAGATGCTTGTGATAATTACAAAATATTGGACAAATTTGTATAACATTGTTATTTTGAAGGGACAGAGAGCCCAAACCCCTCACAAAAAGCGAAACAGTAAATTTAAAAATATTCTTATTTTCTAGTGAAAAAAGTACTTGTGATATAAAATTTTGTAAATTTATTTGGCAGGAATGAAGCTTGAGGCACCATTCCCAGATTTATCTATGCTAGCATTACAGGCATCCAATCCCCAACTAGGGTGCGAATCAAAAAGATTCCATTCTGGTCCTTTCAAAATATTAGCTTTATTCATATCGCTAGACATCAGTGAATGCTTGTACAGGGCCTTCTTCAGAGCAAATGAGGTAAATGGGTATCATATATAAAATAGGCTTAAGACATGCAATTATTATCAGCACAGACCTTTTAGTTTCAGTTCTACGACCTTGCCATGTCCGGAACTCAGTATTTGATTTAAATTTCCAACGATTCGAAAAATCCTGCGATTCGTTTGAATCTCTTCGATCACTTAGCAACGCTTGATACGCTTCATTGATTTCAGCAAATAGTTTCACAGATTGTTTGTTGCCTTGGTTACGATCAGGATGATGCAATAAACTTTTTTTATAATATGCTTGTTTTATTTTCGCTTCAGAAGCCTGCAATGGGACACCGAGTTTGTCACAGTACGTCTTCAACTGTGCTTTAGTGAATGAACTTTGCAAACGTCTCGGCACAGCAAGGCATGGTGAATTCATCACATTGGTAGGTCACCTACAACATGATTCTAACCTAATTTATTCCTAAGTGCCTGGAATTTGAAAAACAAAAATCCTCAAATTACGCATCGATTATTTCATCAATTTACAATGTCTATGACCAGGACCGATTGATGAGGAACGCATTGAACCAGCAAAAGTTATCTAAATGCAAATTCATTGGCAAAATTTCTGGAAATGTTGTTTTTATAATAGATGGACAACATGACTAACAGAACAAAATAGTAATCCATTCATTTCTTCACAGAAAAAATATCTATTAATTCACTCCAACTTGAGGGTGGGGGACATTGATCAGTAATCATTTTACCACTATCTTGAAAATACACACTTTTTAAATACAAAACAAAAAAAGATGCATTCCAGGATGGAAGGGGACGCGATAAACCAGTATTGCTTATCGAGCAGCCCCACCTATGAAAAGTCCTATCATTAGGTCATATAAAAGTGAAAAATCTAACATTAAATACTAGGGTGAAGGGTCAAATGACAAAATACTAACATTGCTTGTGGCATAAATGTTTGACTTTGTAGTTGGTGCGCTGGACAAGAACCACGATGACATCAAAGATACACATCTCAGTCAAAAGCATGAAAAAATTATCATTTTACCAGTCACCATATCCTCACTTTATCCCGCCCACTTCAAAACAAACCTAATTACATTATATATCGACTACATAGTTTCAAGCACTCTTCAAATAATTTAGACAACACTTATTAATTTAATAAATCGATCAGATGACTAATGTAGCTGGTGGTGGAGATTCATAGGACAGAATTCGAACCAGGTGCCTTAATAATAAAATGGTTCAAATGAGTCGACCTGTAAAGTTTATTGGATGAGTTTGAATCTGGAGATGTAGGACAGACGTTTTCTGCTTTTTATAGTTTTTAGAAATTTTATGTGGGCTTTTAGATAATTTTCGAGACTTCAATTAATCAAAATGATAAATTTCCAAGGAAAACTAGTATGAATCTTCCTAAAATAAAGTATTTAGAAAGTATGATATACCTAATTATTTATACTCGATTCATTTCTGGATATTTGAGAATGATTTTTCCTTCAAGGAGCCACTTGTAGTGTAAAAAGTGAACAAGGAAAGCCACCTAATTCAGCCTTGCATTTACATGCAATAAAAATACAGACATCAAAATTTATAAACAATCTAATAAAGCAGTCGCAGAGACAAATAATACTGCAGAAGATATGCTTTTCTGGTTTATCTATTGTGTCATAATCACTCAAACAATAGGCATTGTTGCATCTGAAAGTTGCCCAGCAGTATGTTCATGTGAGGAAAGTTTCGTCATCTGTGAGAATGTGGATCTCATTCCAATGGGTGAGTATCAATAAATTTCTTACCAATCTATCAGATTTAGTTCATTTGACAAGGTTTAGGTCAAATTCCACACAACATCTGAGATTAAATTTTTCATGTGAGCTTGCTAGATGTCAGATTCTAATTCAAAATTTATTTTCCAAACAATGCACCAGACCAGGGGTGGGCGAGGTATTTGGACCAGGGGCAAAAGGTTTGCACATCTAGACTGGCGGGCCATGTGAGTGTAACATACAAAGTTACATTTCATTAACAATATTTACAGTGTTGCAAAAGCTAAAGTGGAAAACAATAAACCTCGTGCCAGAACTAAATTTAATTGCAATCTCAACAAATTCCTAGAGCTATTTTTTAGCTAAAACATCAAATATTGGTTTTAGTTCGGTTTGTCGCGGCATCAGGCAGGCCACATTAAATTACCTAACGAGTTGGATTGGCCCGCAGGCTGTAGTTTGCCAATGTCGGCACTAGACATACACATAGGTGCGTGTGAATGGGGGGAGAGGGACATAGGGCATGTTATAGATATTTGAGGAGTTTGGTGCTAAACATTTCACTCTTACTTTAATTTGTTCATTCTCATGTATAACAACATCTATAATTTGTTTATCCCTCAAAGTTACTGATTTTTAAAGTTATGTATAAGGATCAAATCTCTTCGCATTTTTGTGGTATTGCGTAACTTCATTCCAAAGATGAGTTTCCTCTACTTGTGAGTGAGTGCCTGTGCCCTTGCTTTAGGCAATTTATTTCAAAGTGAAATTTAATTACTGCATTATTATTTTAATCAGGTCTGCCAACCACCACTGCATTCCTCTCACTACCACAGAACAGAATTAAAACAATTTCTCAGGAAGATTTCCAAGGTCTGGCAGAATCCCTGCAACAACTGGATCTGAGTGGGGGAGAACTTGAAAAAATCGCTGCAGGAACATTTAGCAATATGAAAAACCTTGTCACGCTTGATTTGTCAAAAACTAATCTCAAATCAGTAGATAACGGTGCATTTTCTGGTAAGTAACTTCCAGTGTTATAACTGGACTGGAGACATCGACTTGGGTTGAATGTGTGTCACCATTAATAAAAACCCAGAGTGATTTGAATCATCCATATGAAAGGAGTCGGACTCGTATTCAACTAGCCGCCAGTCAGACTCAACTCAGCGCTTGACCTCTGACTCACTTGAATGGGTACTACCGTAGTGTGTGAACCAAGATGGCGGACACAGGAATGTAGTATGTGTACCAGGTTAGATCATAATTTTAGGCACATATACCACGGGAGTCACTTGGCTACCAAACTCATAATAGAACTAAATAAAAATAAGTTGGAATAAAATTATGGCCTAACCCTAACCGGGTATACATACTACGTTCCAGTGTCCGCCATCTTGGTTCACATACTACAGGAGTACACTTGAATGACCTCTGACTCTGAGTTTACTGCCTTCTACCCAATACTAGTAACTGAACAAAACGATAATAATAAGGCCCTTCAAACTATACGAACCGTCATGCAAGACGCGCAGACAATCACCCAAAATCGAGCAAGCTATTTCTCTCGCTTTCTCGTCGTAACAATCCCGATAAGGGAGAGATCGCTGCCGTTAGAGAGTTCTTTATAGTCGGCGCAAATGCCATCTCAGGCGATCGTAGGTATACTTTGGCAAGCTCCATGACGTGATTGTGATGTCGTAGTCACGTAATGTTTGGATGGCGTAGTCAGGGTGTAAAATATGGAGGTTAGGATTGACATGTGCAAAAATCGTTATGCTATGCCTACTGTCTAGAAGTACTTTAGATATGAAACTACACAAGAACCACAATCAGCTGGTTTCCCATCCAGGTCTCGTAAGCCTACAGAATCTCGATCTTTCATCTACGAAACTCAAGAATCTTCTCGAATCGCCGTTCCAAGATCTCAATTCACTGAAGATGCTGAATTTAAAAGAAAACAAGGAACTGACCCAAATATCAGCAAGTGCTTTCAATGGATTGGAAAGTTTGGAGGAATTATTTTTAGGTAAACTCATATTTTCAGGCTCTCACCACTATCTCCTGACAAACCTAGTGGTCGCTCGGAACTACTTACTCTTTTTCCACTTTCAAAAATTGTACAATGCATTGCAACAAAAATGTTGCAGGTCACAGTCATCACAGAAATATAGATTGAGGGATTAATTGACATTCAATGGGCTACGATTTGTTATTGCACAAAAGTTACAGATAGACAACGATACATTGGTTTTGTGGTGCTCCAAAAGTGTGTGTACCAATAAAGAGGTAACTTTGTTCGCCTACTTTACATCAAATTGTGTAAAGGGACTGAAACCTATGGGCAGGGGGTATATTCACTTGGTCAACACAGACAGTCCCCAAACTCGTAATAGAACTAAAGTAAGAAAGATCGGAATAAAATTTTGCCCTGACCTGGTAGACACACTACGGGAGTACCGGTTTCGTACTTTCAAAAATAAAATGAAACCATTCCAAATCTAGAATTTGAAATAACGAATAAATTTTTTAATCATTACCTCAAGCACATATCCAATACTGTGGTAAGCAACTATTACAGATGATAAAATGTTATTTTGCTTTTGATCTAGGGGGAAGCGATCGACTGCGTTATATTCCAAAGAAAGCAATGTCAACGCTTCACTCACTCAATCACTTGGTATTGGAAGATTTATCGCTGAATAGTCTTACACCAGCCTCGTTTCCAAAGCTGGACACACTTGAACGACTCTGCATTGAAAAGTGGAAAAATCTACAAAGAATTGGTAAGGACTGATTCACGGTTATAACTAAGTTTGCGGGATCAGTGTTTGGCACGATTTCATTGATATTGGGGTCATACTACTCAGAGTCTGAATTACTAACGGAAAATAAAGTATTGGGTTGACTGAACTTTCTCAACAGATAATTAAAGTAACTTGCATAATTCAACGTTTTTGAAGTAAAGATTTCGCTTTCTAGGTGTTCGAAGCTAATTCACTTCGACGTGGAGTTCTTTTTTTTAATGGCTTCGAGCTTGTAACCAAGAGTCAATTTTTCTAGACTTCGGTTATAACATTGATAACGGGGGCTATACTTCTCATAGGACATAGCAATTTACACAATAGTTAAGTTCCCAAGGCATTATAAAACTTCATATCTATATAGAACATGACATGACCTAGACTAGAGATTATATCGGATCAACTGAAGAATCTCCACCCCGACTGTAGAATCTCCACCCCGACTAAGACCAACTGTAGAATCTCCACCCCGACTAAGACCAACTGTAGAATCTCCACCTCGACTAAGACCAACTGTAGAATCTCCACCTCGACCAACTGTAGAATCTCCACCTCGACTAAGACCAACTGTAGAATCTCCACCTCGACTAAGACCAACTGTAGAATCTCCACCTCGACTAAGACCAACTGTAGAATCTCCACCCCGACTAAGACCAACTGTAGAATCGCCATCCCGACTAAGACCAAATGTAGAATCTCCACCTCAACTAAGACCAACTGTAGAATCTCCACCTCGACTAAGACCAACTGTAGAATCTCCACCCTGACTAAGACCAACTGTAGAATCTCCACCTCGACTAAGACCAACTGTAGAATCTCCACCCCGACTAAGACCAACTGTAGAATCTCCACCCTGACTAAGACCAACTGTAGAATCGCCATCCCGACTAAGACCAAATGTAGAATCTCCACCTCGACTAAGACCATTTGTAGAATCTCCACCTCGACTAAGACCAACTGTAGAATCTCCACCCCGACTAAGACCAACTGTAGGATCTCCACCCCGACTAAGACCAACTGTAGAATCTCCACCCCGACTAAGACCAACTGTAGAATCTCCATCCCGACTAAGACCAACTGTAGAATCTCCACCTCGACTAAGACCAACTGTAGAATCTCCACCTCGACTAAGACCAACTGTAGAATCTCCACCTCGACTAAGACCAACTGTAGAATCTCCATCCCAACTAAGACAATCTAACCCTACCAAATATTTAGTCCAGGTCAAATGTAGGGTCAACAGGTATTATCGGCCTAGGTGGGTTGAGGGAGGGGGATATTCTTCAGTTGGAAAACGGGATCAACTGAAGAATCTCGGGGGGGGGGGGATTCTTCAGTTGACCCATTATATCCAATGTTTCATATTTAAAAATATTATTTTATAAAATAGTCTGTATTAATTATTTGAAGAGTATTCCTAATGTTATGCACCAACTACTGAGCCATCTGTGGTTTGGCTGATACCAGTGTATAATAACGATAAGCTGAAAGCACTAATGAACACACACTTTATACGCAGCTGCAGATACTTTCAAGCCTTTGACCAACCTGACAGAACTGATGATCAAATCAACCAGTTTGCAAGAGATTCCGTCCAGTGCTTTGGCTCAGTTGAGGAAACTGAGGAAACTTACAATGGATGACAACACCGGGATCAAAATGTTGGTATATAAGCCAATGGAGAAGTTTTGAAAAGGGATAAAGCTGGTTTGAAATCACAATGGCTCCAGTTCCACAGCATATTTCAACTGTGGCTCCAGTCCGAAGCTTCATTTTTAACCTATTTTACTCGAATCTCGAACGCTCCAAAAGAGTCAAAAAATAGGAGCTTGCAAATAAGCTAAGGTTTTTTTCTCATTACATAGTAATGTTTGCTCATAAAAAGATGATCTATTTTATGTAGGCCTACTTAGTCACACAGTATTATTAAATCACTCTCATTTTTTACTCAGACTACATCGAAATGATTTTTTCGGACTCGCCAACCTGCGGGAACTCTCTCTCGTTAATATCGGGCTTCATAATCTACAAGAATCGCCATTTCACTCCAACGATCATCTGAATACGCTCGATTTGTCGCAAAACGAACTCTCAGCTTTTCCTGCGCATACAGTATTCAGTGTAAGTAAAGGTTCACAGATGTTTCTATACCATACAATACTTTCACTTTGAAAACTCTAAATCACACTATAAATCTTACGTATATACATGTTACTATTTTTAAACAACTAAAACAAAATCAGAACTGAAATCGCCTTGATATCAGAAAAGTCCATGGTACATAAGTCTGTAAACCTAAGTAAACACTATTCATTTGAATCATAAAAGTATTTAGTTGATACGTAACTGAGGATTAATATCAAAACTTCAATCAACCAATACAGACAAAATGCCAATTTATCGGAATTGAATACTTGTATTTGCTGCAATCATAAAGTTGGATGGATATGATTAAGCTGTCTTGTTGGCTTATGAGACAAATATGGTTAAGAAAATCTAGTTGGGAAGATGCTGCCAAACCCTGCCCTAGTTTAACTACATTTTGTTTCATAGCTTTTCGAGCTTGAGACATTGAACATTTCACACAATCATCTCACAATGCTTGGGCCAATAACGTTCGAAAATAATCAACAGCTCCATCTAGTGGATGTGAGCAACAATTCAATGATTTGTGACTGCGACCTCTCCTGGCTCAAGCTATGGCAGGTAATTTTTAATATGTACGATGAACATAATTCGGCGCTTCAGAAGTATGTGTACCAATATGGAGGTTAACTAATTTTGTTCGCCTACTTTACATCAAGTTGTGTAAAGGGACAGAAACCTATGGGCAGGGGGGATATCCATTTGCCTAACACAGACAGTCCACGAACTAGTTAGTAATAGAACTAAAATAAGGGAAATCGGAATAAAATCATGACCTAACCCTAACCTGGTACACATACTACGGCAGTACCCATAATTCAATATAGTTTAAGTAGCAGTTGGCGTGCCAGATTTTCGTCGGGGGTCACAGTCGTTTTTGAATGGATCAAATATTTCTCATACAATAGCTGGTCAATATGAAAGAACACCAACTCATTGGAGAATGCGCTTCACCACACACTCATGCAGGAATACAGATATCAGCCATTGAACAGAAATATTTTGTGTGTAAACCACCAAGGTTAGTGCAACATTTGATCTCTATGGGGTGAACAGAATGAATTGAGTATGCAAATAGATTAAAAAATAGTTTTATACAATATTGCAAGTTCTTGATTGTAGTAGGAATCAAAGTGAGATTCTGCACAAATATGACAAGTTTAGGCAAAATGAAACCGATATTTGGAAACGGAATGTTCGACGGCACAAGTTATTGCCTTAGGGAGAGAGGAAGGCTGAAATGGCGGCTTAAACCTATGCCAAACCATGGCCTCTTGTCCAATTAGCAGTTCATGTCGGGTATAAGATTAGTTTGTTTATGAATAAATATGATTGATAACAAATCTCTTTTTATAAAATTAAAAAAAAATTGTTGAACATGACGGAATTTAGATTTTATTCGGTATCCCATATTACAAACTATTGCTTCAGAATGTATTCGGAATAATAGAATATTTGTTTGTGTACATACGAGGCATTTCCACGGTCTTACAGTCCCGATTCACAAACTCAATTTGAGAAATTGTTTCATGCTAAAATGCAAGGACATGAGTATAAAAACTTTAAAAAAAAATAACAGTCCATCTATCTAACACTGAAGGTTCAAAGAGCACAATGTCACTGTATCAGTATCTGTTGGTAATTCCTTGACATTAGATTGCAAGCCTGGGCAAGGGTCGCCAGATCCAACAATCACTTGGACTGACGGACATGGAACCATGTTGACAAAGTATGATGAGATAGGCAAGGTAAGAAAAACATGACCCGAGGATGTCAAAATAAATCGAATATTTTAATCATTTCATAATCAATTTTTTTCGATAATCCAAACCGTATATCCTTGCAAATAAGCCGAGTTCAAAGCGCGCATAACTCTGATCACACAAAATGACATTATGCTAACTTTAATCCAACAGCTTCAACTCAAGCCATGCTAAGTTCTCATGATAAGAGCGTCTGATTTGTAGGGTTGGCATATATTTTTTTTTATATAAATTCAGCGTTTTCGGGGGTCAGCTCATATGCGAGGATATACGGTAAGAAAAGTTCATTTTAAGAAAGTATCCTAAGCTGAACCAAAAAGCCCCTAATTCAGTTCTGAAGTCTGAAAAACCAATCACACTGATTTGCAACTTTCCATATACTAACAGTATATTTAACTAAACAATGATTCTGATCTCAAACATTCAAAATATAATATATGCTCGGCTTCCCCTAAGAACAAACGCGTCAGACTATGAAGTTATCCATAGTAGTTGAGCTGATAAAATGAAAAGGTGTTAATTAGATGGAGAATCACTAATTAGCATTCATTTCACCATCTCGATCTGTTAATGGCACTAACAGGCAGGGATGTCCAGATATTCGTATGCATGCACCCAAACAGATCAAATTGTCTTCTATAGGAAAGGGGGTCAAAACCAGGAGGCCGTCTGTATAAGCGTCATGTGGCAATTGTAAATGGCAATAATGATGCACAGCGTGCTGTTAAGGGCAACAGTACATAAAAACCTAAAGACCACTGTTCTAAAATATTATTTCAGAATGTGAAGATTATGAGACGCAACAATTAAAAGATGTCACAATACTTTACAATTGAGTAACTACAGTAAGCCTCATATTTGCAAAGTACGATTATGTTTCACATTTCACTTAGGTGGATCCCCCTCCCCACATATGGCAGCTGCAGAACGGTTCACTATTCTTCAACTCAACACTGGACTCAGACTACGGAACGTTTCGTTGCACGGCAGAAAACAAGGAAGGAAAATCACTGAAAACATTCGCACTGACATATCCTGGATGTGAGATATAGTTTCAGGCATATTGAAAGTATTATCATTAGGGCTGTCCAAGCGAACCGAATATTTGAAATCGAATCAATGGCAAATTATTCGAAGCGTTTTTCGGCCAATTTACGAATCGCTAAAATTTGCTACATAATGCGCCTCACGAACAGCTTTGCACCGCGTTTTTCACCGGGCAAGCAAAAACATGTTTCTATGGCTTTCTTTGCTGTAAAAATGTCTCTCCTATTGCCCGGTGACATGTAATTATTCATTTCATGCATGGTCATAAATGAAAAGTTATCGGTAACAATTATTTAAAGGTGACGTTTTTGAGAGAACACGAGGGAAAAAAGGCAAATCTTGTGCCAGCAGAAACGCCAGTTCTATAAATAGAATCGATTTGTAGTTGTTGAGTCACACCAATACTTTTTTCCAATAGAATTTGTAATTTTTTCTAATGGCAATACTTTGTTTCATCCATTTATTACTATGACAAATAATTGCACTCTTGTGAGTTGATGGCTGTTGTACAGCAACAATATGGTCATCAAATAATAATGTCATCAAACTAGCTCTGAATTTGTGAGTTCCCGAAATGCAATTTTAAATTTTTTTTTTTGGGCAACAGTTATATCTATAATAATAGTTGTTTATCATTTTACTGAAAATTACACAAAAATATTGAGTTAATAATACTAATGAAAATAGGATTAAAATAGCAACTATGGCATTAAAAGAGTCTGTGCAATTTCCAACTCTTAAAACTTGATAGTTTTCGAAACCCTAATTTTTTGACCAGTTCAAGTAGGCTTGTGATCCCCTTTTATAACTCTGGAAACATAGTTATGTAAAATATTTGCAATAATTTAGATATAACTGAACATACGTCACAATATTGAAGAGGAAGTTTTTATTGTACATTACAGACAAATTTAGGATTGGGCAATAATATTCGATTATACGGTTCGATTCGAGAAAAAAATTCGGTTCGATTCGAATCAAAAAAATATTCGATTTTGGACAGCCCAAATTATCATGCTATTGCACCAGCACTAATTTTCTGTTTACGTTAGGTTGGAAAAGTGGAAACTTGATTGATTATATGGCTGCTAACCTGATATAGCCCAATAAGTAATCCGATCGAGTTTCCTTAATTGCATTTGTTCATATGCCGATCCACGGCCTCTTGTCCGGTTACCAGTCCATGTCGGGTATGGGATTAGCTAGTTATTTATTTGGGCTTGATGGTGGAGGAAGCAGTAACCGACCAACGATTACGTGAACCACCCTAAGGCGGCGATAAGTCCAGCAATCATCCCGCACATAACTATACGCGCATGGGATTCAAACATGAGGTGCGGTGGCGAGCGCATTCCTAATGCTTAGCATGATGCGCTACACCGCTGAACCGAACAAAATCTATCAGAAAATCAGTGGTGGGGCAGTAACATCACAGTAAGGCTCTTGATCAACTTAAAGAGCAAACTAAAAGAAGACAGCTTATTTGCATGACAAACCTCTTGTTTTCCTCTACCTGGGATAACCAAGATAGCCCTATGTATGTATGCAAGGACTCACTTTTTCACTTATAGAACCAACAGATTTCTACTTCACAAACGACGAGGAAAAGGGCATTCCGACTGACAGTATATGCTTCAATAACTGGCAATAAGAAATAGACAACAAACTATAAATGTTATCCAATCATAGTATGGGAATCATAGAAACTGACATAGAGCATTGGAAACTTCCTGCTTGTACAAATTGATTCTGCAACAAACACTCTTTTTGCCAAATAAATTTCAATATCAAATGGAATTTTCGTATAGAGATTTCAGTGTGGAATCCGTATGAATTGCACCAATTTTTTGTATTCTAATCTGACAGTTTCCTAATGTTACACACATTCCCCACAACCACAAGTTCAAATAGCAAAAGTAAAAAATTGATAATAACCTCGAAAAAATACCTACAATTCCACTCTTTTACAGTGAGTGATATTTTCGGTGATGCAACTCCATCTGGTGGATCGGTGGCCACAGGAATTCTGGTGACAATTGGGCTTTTGCTACCAGTAGGTGGCGTACTATGGTATATCAGGAAAAGACGAGAATACAAAAATTTAAATGACAGTGAACGATGGAATACATTATGAGATACATATGGTAAGAAATCCACTTTTAAATTTTAATCAAACAATCTATGTTGCAAATTTTACATCAAACATGAAATTGAAAATGCAGGTAACATCTCTTGGATTCAAATCCCTTGCCTAGAATATGATAAATTGGGTGAGCAACGCCTAACAGGAAAATTTCAAAACAGTAGCCACTTACATTTTAGCGGCTTTTAACGAGGCAGAGTAAAACGAGTGAATATGTGTCCTATCAAAATACCAATCATGCCGCTCTGCACTTTTCAATATTGTCTTGGAGATAACAGCACGGACAGCCATTTCATATTGGATAGTTTTCATTGCTTCATATTTGAATGCGAACTGTATTTCAACATAATAGCAATCATTAATAAATTGGTATTTTGTACTTTTTATACAAATCTGTTTAAATAAAGGTCCCTGGTTCTCAACTGAAATAATATATATAGCACACTGAGAACTAGATTTAGGGGTAGCCCTGTGACAAAGATGAACCTTTTTTAATATTTTACAGGGATAAATAGAAGAGTTTTGAACGAGACTGTCAGACCATCTATCGAAGCGATTGTACATATTTCACATTGGACAAATATAAATAATAAAGTATGAACAGAAACATTGAAGCCTGGGTTTTAGAGTTTTGATTTTATGTTATGTCCATTACGATTTACTTATTTATCCCGGGGAAGACTCGACCGACCAGTGGTTACATAAACCACCCTACGGCAGCGAGGAGTACAGCAATCTTCTCACACATACTGACATAATCAACGCGAATCAAATGCGATTCGAACCCACACAAGGTAATCGGAGGTGCAGTGGCCAGCGTATTCCCAATGCTTAGCGCGATGCAACACACCGCCGAGTAAATTCACTTCATAATCTGGTACCTTCACGAAGCTAGATCAGTTATTCAGATAAAATATAATCAGTATAAGAAAAATCATATGGTACGGTAATACCATACAGCAAATAAGGTCAGTACGGCACACTATCCCGAATCCGGATTTGCGTCTACATTCTGGAAGAGCCAAAATATGAATAGGCGTCTGTGAAACGGGGGGCGTCGAGTCGTCTGCGAGCTCGATGCGTGAGAACGTCATATGTCTGGATATGACGTCAAAGAAAGTCACAGATCGGCAGTTCGGCACGGCTCTCGAATTTTGCTAATTTGATTTTCTTTTTTTACCGATGTATACTGACCTATTTATGGTTAGATATACGATGTATTTCTGAATCATTATATTCAGTCTACTGTTGGTAGTGCCTAATTAAAATAATGTCGCGTAAATGCAAACGTCTGTGAATAAAATAATTACTTTTAAATAATATCAAGAGATTACAAAATTAGGCGTTTCGATTAATACGTCTACGAGTCCAACTAATTTTATTATAAGTGTTTGTGACTACATGACATCGTTTGAATTGTCGTATAACGAAGTCAAAACGATGCACGATATCGAAGTTTTTTTTTTCAATAGTTAAATTAATATCGATAGTGAAACTTTGTATGCCCGTTAATACCTGTAATTACAACAATTTAACATAGCATCTTCGGTTATTTAGAACTGAAACTTCCATAACGCACAACGATTACGAATTACGATATCATTTAATAATTATATTCCAGATTTTTATTTAAATTTGAGCGTCAACAATCCATAGTAAAATAAAAGCCTCGATGATTAATTGGATTAAACTATTTTTCCAATTTGATTCTTGTTTTTCACAGACTACGCAAGTTGACCATTTGCGGCATACGAATGCATCAATGCGGCATTATATTAATTTGATTCTTGTTTTTCACCTATCTATTCTTGCATAAATCACGCAAATTAACATTTGCAGTATATGATTGCCTCGACGTGGCATTGAATTAAAATATTCTCGTATTCCGTATACTTCGAAGTTAAACATTCGCGACATATGAATGTATCAATGCCGCATTATATTAGTTTGAATCTTGTTTTTCATCGATCTATACTAGTATAAATTACGCAAATTGAACATTTGCGGCATATGAATACATCGATGCGGCATGATATTACATTATTTTGCTAATTTGATTCTTGTTTCTTGCCGATCTATTATTGTGTAAATTACGCAAGTTGATCATTTGCGGCTTATGAATTAAATTATTTTCATTTAGATTAACATTTGTGGCATATGAATGCCTCGATGTGGCATTGAATTAAATTATTCTCGTATACCGTAACTTTCGAAGTTAAACATTTGCGGCATATGAATGTATCGATGGGACATCATATTATTTTGAATCTTGTTTTTTACCGATCTATACTAGTATAAATTATGCAAACTGAACATTTGCGGCATATGAATACATCAATGTGGCATTATATTAAGTTATTTTGCTAATTTGATTCTCGTTTTTCGCCGATCTATTCTTGTATAAATTACGCAAGTTGCACATTTTGCGGCATATGAATGTCTCGTTGCGGCATTAGATTAAATTATTGCTTTAGAACTAATTCATCTAATGCTATATCGAGGCATTAATTTTACTGTTTATCGATTGTGTGTTATCAAAATGTAATTTTTATTATCTCTGATCCATTTATTATCGTTAACACGCCATCCTATCTACATTGAAAATGAGAGAAACACGGCACGCCAAGGTTTACGTCGAGGAACGGCCGATGCGTGCCTGCGTGCGTCGATTGAAATTCAGTGACGTCACACGCCATCAATCGTTTTTTGCTCATTTCTCTCGAACGCACCGGTAAAATTTTTTTTACATCGGTAGATCTGATTATTTTTTCACGAGGAATTCAATGGTGATGGTTTTAGATTGCGCTTTTTGTTAGTTTACTGCGCAGCTTCAATTTATCGATATCGGGAGACAAAATCTGCCAGACGTCCATTGAAGGAGGGATATTCGATCACCGTTAAAATAGGTTTCTTTAAAACGAGAGATTGTCTCTCGATCTGTAAAGTGTGCCGTACTGAAGGTCCAATCAATGCATGGGTCTAGCGTAGTTTCGTACCTCAAGTACTTTTAGTGGGCGGAGCAAACCAATCTGGCATATGTCAATCCTAACCCAGTAACCCCCACCTGATTGCTTCATCCAAAAATTATGCCACTAAGGCGTCACAGTGACGTAATAAGGCCCTTCATACTATACCAACTGTCATCTAAGATGATCACCCAAAATCGAGCAAGCTATTTCTCTCGTTTTCTCGCCGCTTCTAATTTTTGGATGGAGTAGTCGTGTGGGGGTTAGGATTGTCCTGTACAAAAATCGTAATGCACGACCACTAGAAGTACTCCAGGTATGAAACTACACGAGACGCCAATGCTGCAATGCATAGCTATCTGAATTAAGGTACTTCCTGACGGGTCTCATGTCAGCATGTAGTTTCGTACCTAACACACCTCTAGTGGGCATAGAATAACAAATTTTCCATGTGTCTATCCTAACCCCCACCTGACTACGCCATCCAAAAATTGTGTCACAGACCACAGTGACGTAATAGAGCCCAAGACATGCAGGAAAGCATCCGAAATCGGAAAGCTATTGTTTCGCTGCGACGATCTCAATATGAGAGAGATCGATGACATTAGTCCAGTTTCTCATCGTCGGCGCTGATGCCATTCCGGGTGATCGTAGGTATATCTCAGTACAGCACACTTTCCAAATTCCAAGAATTTCCCTTCATTTGGTTCAATAAAACAAACACTCCATGTGACTCACAAACGAGGGCCATCTGGCACCACGTCAGATGCGTCCTATCACGCCATGCTTGTCTCAATAATAATCTAAATTAATCACGGCACTCACGTGACCAAAATTGCCGTTTTCTACTAAATACTCCTGCATGCCGAGGTAAAAAAAAATTTTTTCCTTTGGTAAATTAGAATATTTTTTTCAGAGGAACTCAATGATGACGTTATTAGATTGCAATTTTTGTAATATTTTGCACAACTTCATTATACTGTATTTTTACCAATATTGAAGGACAACAATGTTCAGACGTCTCCCAAAGGAGGGGTGTCTGATCATCTGTAAAATGTGTTTCTCTGAAACGAGACAATGTTTCTCGATCTATATAGTGTGCCGTACTGTATTTTGCAAGCTCTATAACGTGATTGTGATGTCGTAATTTTTGGCATAATCGGATGGGGGTTAGGATTGACATATCGAAAAATTGTCATTCTAAGCCCACTAGAGGTACCGTATGCTAGGTACAAAACTACACGAGACCCCTTCAGTACTTGCTAGCGCTTATTTTTGGCCAAATTCAAATCCATTGCCAATTCGGATTCATGCATATGATTTTTTTGGTTTATCCAAATAGACTAAGTCTAAATAGATTATCTCAATTTAGTTGCGTGAATCCCAATTTTCCGGGTAATTTAGGGTAGGTAGGTACCGGGGGTCTGATGTAGTTTCGTACCTAACAGACTTTTAGTAGGCGTAGCATAACAATTTTTTTACATGCCAATCCTAACCCTCCCCTGACTACCCCATCCAAAAATTACGTCACAATCACGTCATAGAGCTTGCCAAATACTCATACGATCGCCCGAAATGGCATCGGCGCCGACGATGAAGACCTGACTAACGTCAGCAATCTCTCTCCTATCACAGTATCAGGATCGTTACGACAAGAAAACGAGAGAGATGGCTGTTCTATTTCGGGTTCTCGTCTGCGCGTCTTGAATGACAGTTCGTATAGTTTGAAGGGCTCTATTACGTTACTGTGACGTTGTAGTGACGTAATTTTTGGATAGTGTGGTCAGGTGGGGGTTAGGATTGACACATGAAAAATTGTTATGCTACGCCTACTAGAAGTACGTTTGGTACGAAACTACATGAGACCCGGTACCGGTACCATGCCCCCGGTATAAAGTGTACCAGTATGAAGATAAATAATGACAAATATTCCAAATACATTTACCCATGAATCCAATTTAATTAAATAATACAATATAAATAAGTTAATCCCTACTCTTATATGTCATCAAGTTACCGCTAACTATGGCTAAAACATCAAAGTCGAAAGAACACAGTGATAGATTGATAGTGATGCACGGAGTCAATATTATTACATAATCGGAAAATATGGTTTTTCCGTACTCACTCAGGAGAAAGAAAACGGAGAATCCCGTCCAAATTTTTAAAAGATTTTGATTTCACATATTGTTCCCGAATTTTTGAGGTTTTTTGTTTACATGAACCTAACTTGAATTTTCAAAAGTACGATAAAAATCAAACGTCGATTAGTATGATGACGTTGGAGGCTATTGAGAATTTGTCAACGTAGTACCGTGTTTCCCCAAAAATAAGCCTGGGCCTTGTTTCAATTTTCTTCCAAAAATTGACACTGGGACTTATTTTCGGGGGATGTCTTATATTTTTATTTATCAAGAACAAAATTACAAAGTAGAGAATTACGAGATTTTCAAATATGGGAAATAAGAAAACTGATATCCATTTACTTATAAATAACACGTTTTTATTCTCAAAGTAACTGCAAAACATAGATTATTAATCATTTAATACGTGTAGGAGAGATTTTTTGTTATCGACTATAGGTAAAAAAAAACATTCGCGTTATTGACTAGGTCTTATTTTAAGGGGAGGGCTTATATTGAAATTAT